CCTCCCCCTCCCCCTCCCCCTCCCTCTCCCTCCACTCCTGATCATCCTGCCTCAACCTCCCAAGTGGTAGGATTATAGGCATGTACCACCTATCTGACCCTCAGTTTCTTTCTTGTCTTAGAGGTTTTAATGTTACTTTTTAAGGTTCTCAGGTAGTCTGTACCCTGGGCATGAGTAGTTTGGTAGATAACGTGTCAGAGACAGTCACTTCTTCATCTCCCAAATCTTAGAAGGTTTGTTTTCTTCTAATATGATTTGTGTGTCTTTCCAGGTGTCCTCCAAAAATGGCATGAGGTTTTAGGTAGACGATAACCTCCATTAACCAAAACCTGTCGAACATTCTTTGCGCTTGTTGTTTTCTTTGTCTTCTTTTTAGCAGAAGAATATATTTCAGAAAATTAAGCCGAGACTGGGAATTTGGTTTAAACAGAATGAAGCAGTTGAAAGTCAGGCTGGCCACAGGGTGGGGGATGCCCTGTCCTCATGCTACTGCACATCACCGCCCTGGATGGTGGATCCTGGCTTTGCTGTGTGTGAAGCAGGGTCATGAGACATAGCAAAAATAGTTAAGGAAAACACAGGCTTTCTGGTTAGTCCTGTATCTCCCCCTCCCACCCCACCCCCTTCCCCCAGAGTTGCTAATGGGTCCAGCCCACCTGAATTCCTGACATCTTCAGGTCACCTGAGGCTGTCCCCCCCCTTTTTTCTCCCCCCCTTCCCCCTCTCTCTTTCTGCATTCCTGTGTTCTTCCTCCTCCCACTGCTTCTGCACGTGCAGTCACTTCTCTTCATTGCCTGGAGATCTGTCAGATGCCCCAAAGGGAAAGGTTACCATTTGCTATCCCATGGCTAGGCTTTTCCTGGGTTGATACACCTACTATGTATTTCTGTTGCTGAGCTGAGGGACACCTGACCTAAGAAACGTACCTCCTGAGTCATGCTCAGGGCCTGCTAGATTCATGAATGGCTGCTAGGCCCTGGGAGGATGTGTGAGTGCTGCTGCATGCAGGTTACCCAGGCCAGCTCACTGCACTTCTCTTGTGTCACTATCCATGCTCCTGACAATGCCAGTGTCAGTGTAGTTGAGGTGCACTCTTGGCTCGCTTAGGATTCGTTCTCCACAGCATCCCCATTGACTCACAAACCTGTTAGGTCCCCTGGGAATGGCTGTGGCTAGGTATGCACATGGGATGCTCTGACCTGGTGGGTTCATCTCCATAGGGATCTCAATCGGAATCGGATTCGGCTAATCGAGGGCCTCACGTTCCAGGGACTTGATAGCTTGGAGGTGCTGAAGCTTCAGCGAAACAACATCAGCAGGCTGACAGATGGTGCCTTCTGGGGGCTATCTAAGATGCATGTGCTGTGAGTGTGGGCACCTCTGCTGGGCTATGGGAGAACATGGGAGTGGGCTCTGTGGGTCATGTGTGCACTCATGGTGCCTGTGCATGCTCATGGAGCTGAGTACTGAGTGTAGAGGCCACCTGGGCCCAGCCCCCCTGCACTCTGGGCCTTCTGTGCCCATCCAGTGTCTTTGCACACTGGACCAAACCCCAGGGTGTTTTCCCGGCAGGGTAGAAATATCTGTTGGAAGAGGCTTTACGGGATCTGGTTAGATAAGGAAGTGAAAGGAGATAGATTGAGCCAGTCTACTGGGCCTGCTCTCCACCCTCACTTCCTCCATGAACCTGAGACTGCAAAGTGACTCCCTCCCCGTATCCTTTCCACTCCCACGCCCCACAGGAAGTTCCTTCTCTTCTCTGGGGTTGATGCTTCTTTTTTGATGTGCAGGTGGGCCAAAGTGTGTAGTTCATCCTGGGAGATGTATTCCCATGCTGTGAGCTCATCAAGACACGGGGTGCGGATGTGCAGCTTTGAGCAAGGGAGCGTCTTCAGCCAGTGTGTGCAGCAGCAGTGTTGCCTGCCAGACTAAAATAACAGGGAAACATGCCTAGTGAGCTGCTGGCCAGAAACTTCTAAAATTGTTTACATATACAGATTACGATTTTGCATCTTACAGTTAAATCAGCTAGTAAAGAAAAGATGTTGCTCCTCACCCCTCGCTCCTCTGTGCCCCAGTTTTTTCCCCTGTGAGGCAGACACTGCCTCGTACTTTCTCCTTGAGTCTCTGCTTTTCAGGTTCACTGGTGGCTACTTGCAGGTGAGCACGCCTGTCCCATTGTCTTTCTGTGTTCCTGAGATGTCCTTCCAGAGTCAGTGCTTCAGCTCACCACCTCCCTTGCTCTATTTTGTGCAAATTATGTTACAAACTTTCACATCCTTTGCTATCTTTGTAGCTGAAACCAAGGCCAAAAGCCCAGGCCCACATCTGCCAGAGTGTTTCTCATCCTGGTCATCAGAAGTGTCTCCCACTGCTTACCCTTGCCACCCCTGCCCGATTGTCCGGCAGACATAGGAGGAGTGCTGCTTGGCTTCTTGCTCTTCATAGTCTCCACTTTTGATTAGCTGGATGGTAGTTTTGTTTTAGAAGCTGAAATCTAAGTGAAAATGCTGCAGTCAAGAGTTTTTGGAAAATTGTGTTCACCCCGCTGCCACTTGCTTTGTATGCTGAACAAATTTGTACAAATGGGGTGACATGTTGTCTTAGAAGTCATTTATATTCTATGCACTTTGAGCAGTGGGAGAAAGTCAGATAAACAAAATTTGGTTGCTTAAACTTCCTTTCCAACATTGAATGTGGAACAAAATTTGGATTGGTAGCTTTTGTTATAGAGGCCACACGTCTCATGTACTGTGGCATTCTCAGTGCTGACCACCATGTTCCTACTTGCTGTCTGTTTGATGAATGTCTGACAGCCTCCTCTTCATACATGTGTGACTGTCGTTGCAGGCACCTGGAGTACAACAGCCTGGTGGAAGTGAACAGCGGCTCTCTCTACGGCCTCACAGCCCTGCAGCAACTGCACCTCAGCAACAACTCCATCTCTCGGATTCAGCGTGATGGCTGGAGCTTCTGTCAGAAGCTGCACGAGTTGTAAGTCTTTGACCATGTTCTGCTTCAGTACCAGGAGAATCCTCCAGAGCTCAAGATGCCATAGGCCTGACTCATTCCACAACATGACTTGGGGGTTCGGATGAGGGGGTAGCCCAGAGGCAGGTAGGCTGGTAAAGCCTGTTCTGGAAGATAGCCTGACTGCCTAGGCCAGAGCAGGACCAGCAGGACTTTGAGCCAAGTCCCTTCCTGAGCCCTTGGGATTAGGAGGGGGTGCAGGAGTAGCATTTAGGACCCCACATGGAGCCTCTGCCTTCAGGCCTTCTTAGATGTGGAGTCAGTTCTGAAGGAGAAGGCTCTGCAGGGGAACTGCAGTCTCAAGTGGTGTCTCGCAAGCTCTTTTGAATGATAACAGTTAACGTGAATTTCTCGAGTGAAAAGGCTTAGGTACAAAAAGGAGTAGGATGGTAAAACTAAGATGGTGGTACACTGACAATGAAGACTGTTCACCTTGGCATCGCCACCGTCCTTTGCTCAGACGATTTCTCTGGACATTTGTCTGCTTTTTGTTGTTTGCATTCCAGTGCCTGATGGCAGAAGTGGATGTGTGAGATGCGTGGTCCCTGGGGCCTTTGGGAAATTCCCAGACAGGGTTCCCAGGTTGGGCCTGAGGACACCCCAGTTTGTGCCTTTGCTACCAAGAACAGCAGTGACAGACTCCCCTGGTAGAGAGGGTGTGGCCTAGACTTCCCTTTGCAGCGGTGCACTTAACCACAACAGTAGCCAAGGCCTCAGTAAGCATTTTCTGTTCCTCTGACCCCATCCCATGTCTAGGAGACTGAGTTTTTTGGAGCTCTTTCAGTTTATAGTCCAATATATTTATTTTTGAGAGTTTAGGAAGGTTTTCTCTTTTCCTTTTTTGTTTTGTTTGTCTAGGCTTGGCTACGAGAAAAGATAGGCCCAGCAAAGTGAGTGAGTGGTAGGAATGCCACACCTTACTCAGTCTGTCTCTTGTTTTTTACTTTACCAGGCACACTCAGAGGATTACTTGACTATGATGTCGACTCTTGTAGCAGCTTGTGTTTTCATCTACTCTTTCATCTACTCTGTATTACCTTCAGAGTGTGTGTGTGTGTGTGTGTGTGTGTGTGTGTGTGTGTGTGTTTCATCCCACTTACCTGAAGCTCATATTTTAGCCAATCCATCATTATGTGGTACAAAAGGCCATGATCCTGCCACTTGCTTTGAAGTCCTCATTTCCCTTAGATTCTATGTGGGTATCAGTGTTCATTCTTTGGGTTCAGCTTCTTGCTGCCTAGAGACAATGATACTCTTGACCATTTCCCATAGTAACCAGCTCTTCACTTGAGCCCTTCCAGGGAACTTGAATGAGCCATATTTTTCTGTTCGCTGAGGCTAGGAGCTAGTCGAGGCCTTCTAGGTCCCCCATTCCAGTTGGCAAGGATTGCTCCCTGTCATGACCATAAGTGAGCCCCTGGAGTTGAGGCTGCATGGGAAGACCTTTGAGTTTCCTGCTCCCCTTTCTGCCTGGTGGTTAGGATGACACTATTTTGCCCTTTATAGTGGGGGGAAGGTCACTGAAGTATTACTAGATCAGTCCTTGCAGTTTGATAGTCAGGAAATCTCAGAACCAGATGTAGGATTGCTTTCCATCATGTTTCCTGCCCTTCCTTTAAGCCAAAATCTTTAATTGCAGGTGAAGATATAATTTTGGTCTCCTGCTGGATCTTTGCAGCCGACAGACACCATGACTTATGCCTCAAAGAAGGAAGGAATGTTGCTTGCTGCCACTTTAAAAAATTCATTAATTTTCTACTAGCTTATTTTCCTTCTTCCTGTCCCATCCGAGACTTCCAATTTTCAACTATAGATAGCCAATATATGATGTAACCATCCCAGCGCTGTGTAGCATATATGTTAATGCTGGGAAGAGAGTTTGATTCTGACACAGGGGCAGTCAGCTTTAGGGCGTGATGCATGCTCCCTGTCATGGTTACAGGGAGATGTGGAGGTCACTACCCAGGCCTGAACTTTTAGTGTTAGTGTCTTTATCAACTAAAATGGGAGGCTGTTGTGTGACTATCCTAGGCAGTGGCTACTGGTGCCCTCTACTGGTTAGTACAGGGAGTGTAGCTGGAGCTTCCTAGAAGGGTTCTACATTGCAAGACCACTTCTTTCATTGCCTGAGCCAGGACTGGCAATGGAGGGGTTTGGAGCCTTGAGATGTGTGTGTATGACCTGTGTCTATAGTTGTGTAAGCCGTAGTCCCCACAGCTTTTTGGCACTGGTTTTTATGACCTGCATGACCATTCTAGTTGTCAAACTAGATGGGTTTCTGTTTACACAGCCACTTTCACTGAGGATTCCTGTAGGTGTGTGTATGTGCCCTGTTTCCATTCACACCAGGCTAACTGGCCTGATTGCTCAGGAGAACAGAGAGTAGGGCATCTATATGTCTCCATGGTAACATTTGTCTCCCTCTTGTCTTCCTCAGGATTCTGTCCTTCAACAACCTGACACGTCTAGATGAGGAGAGCCTGGCCGAGCTAAGCAGCCTGAGTATCCTGCGCCTTAGCCACAATGCCATCAGTCATATCTCTGAAGGCGCCTTCAAGGGGCTCAAAAGCCTACGTGTTTTGTAAGGCTTTTGCTTTTGAGGGTGACAGAATGAAGGGGGTCCTTGGGTGGGATAACAAATGGAGCAAAGTACCTGCTTGTTGAGATTCCCTCTTGCTAGTTCTCAGTCTAGATTGGACCCCAAGCTGGCCTGCTATGGGTACATGGACTTAATCTTTTATGCCATTAACCAAAATAGAATTGTCGAGCAGATAAACTTTCCTTTCCCAAGATGGTGCCTGTAGAGAGATGGCAACTGTTTAAACACTGTTCTCATTAGGAATTCTCAATACATTTGGCAAGGTGAGGATAGACTGGTCTTGCTGGGTACCTGTGGCAGCATCCAGGGGTGACTTTCCTGCCACAGCTTCTCAAGTGCTGGGATTATTAGTGTGAGCCACCAGACCTGGTTGTAAATTGTGAGATTTTTTTTTTTTTCCCTCCCCTCATGGTGCTGGAGATTGAGGCTAGGGCCTTGTGAAAGCTAGGCAAGTGCACTTCCATGGAGGCGCATCCCCAGCCCTGACTTCAGTTTTTAAGTCCTATATGTTTATTTTTTTTCCTCCAAGCTGGTATCATGACTTTTCTCAGTCCTACTATTTGAAGTTCTTAAGTGAATCTGGATCCAAGAGAGGTGGAAATTGTTGTGTCCTTGCTTGTATCTCTTTAGGGAGTTGTATAACAAGAGGGGTGATGATGTCCTGACCTTTGAGGTGTCCATGAAGTTGTTGCAGGGTGCCTTTCTAGGACTTTTCATACAGCTTTTCAAATGTGAGCACTAGTCAGCTTCTAAGCCACTGTAAGCCTGAAAGCCCCAGAGGGGCATATGGTTTTCAATAGATATCAGTAGCAGTCTCTGAGTCTCCTTTCCCATTGTGGGACAGTGTGCCTGTCCTTGTGCCTGGGGGAAGGTCTTTGCACCTGCACCTAGCATAGTAGGCTTTAGTAGTGAATCACTGCTGGGGAGTATGCGAGAGCCAAGCTCTTCAAGCTGAAGTCAATCTGTGAGCCCTTGCAAGACCTGAATAGCAAGGCCAGAAACATTCAGGTCAAGCAGGCCAGAAAGAAGAGGAAAACTTTGCAGGCAGGGTCCAGAGCAGGAAGATAGGCACACAAAGACTGGGCCCCTTGTGTATTCAGTCTAAAGATAACAGGGTGGGACGGACCCATTGGAAGGAGAAGTCCTTTCCAGCAGCACATTTTCACTCTTTTAGCTTCATGCTGAAATGTAAAGGTCACAGCAGCATTTTGCTCTTCAGTCCCAGCTCCCCTCCCAACTGGCAGTGACTTTTCAGCTTCTTCACAGAGCCAAGAGCAGCATCCCTTTCTATTCTTGGCCATGTCTGCAAGAACTCTGAAAAGGGAAGTGTGGAAAGTTGGAGAAAGCAAAATGTGTGCATAGTAGGGGTTTGGCCGCCAGGTGTGATGTCTTCCCTGGGTGCTGTGACCTGCCCTTGGAAGCTGAGGGAGGAGGCTGAATCACCAACCCTGCCCAAGGAGTGTGGGCCAAGGAGTTGGCTTCATCTTTCCTGTCCTGGCAAGTGGGTCACAAGTCTGACTCAGCACCCAGATGTCCTCTCTGGCTCGGAGTCCAGTACTGAATAGGCCTCATGAGGAGATGGGCTATAGGCCCTAGACTTACAGGCCAGCCTGGAGGGGCTCTGAAGCAGAGCCTCTTTCTTTGCCATTCCTTTTCTTCTATGTTTCTTCCATAGTGTCCAGAAAAAGGACGTGGTTGATACGAGAGTAGATAGGAATATTAAGGAAACTTTTGAGTTGCTTCTCTGTGCCAGAAGGGCCAGAAGTCCATTTGTGGGGGTGAGATGCAAACTCTGGCTTCACCTGGTATGGCCTGCACTGCTTCCCTTCCTGGAGCCAGCCAGAGTATTTGATGGATGTGTCAGCTTTGTTGGACGGATGAGAAGCCAGGTCATACGGCAAAGAATGCAAAAAGGGGTTCTTTTACCAGGGCCATGCTTCCCATGACTGTACATGATGCTGGGCCTCAGATGTACCTTGGAAGCTTTGAGCCTCTTGGTGAAAGCTTGCATGTGGGGCTGGTCTTTCATGGGGAAGACTGAGACCAGATCTCAGGATAGAGGGTGAGCTTGCTTTCTGTCTTCTTCCTAGGGACCTGGACCATAATGAGATCTCGGGCACAATCGAAGATACTAGCGGCGCCTTCATGGGGCTCGACAGCCTCAGCAAACTGTGAGTATTTCTGAGTGTGCAATTCTACAAGTTCTGGTAAGCAGGGCCATCAGCTCCCCTGGGCCTCTTTGTCCCGGGCTCACAGGGGATTACAGGCTGTTGAGGTTTTCTGTTGTGTGCATAGGCTGAGGATCAATATGAGAGACCCACAGCCTCTCACAGGCCAAGTCTCTGTGCTCTCTGTGTGGTGGCCCTTTAGGCTGCTGACATGGTTTTGGTCCTGTTCACAACCCATCTAAAAACACATGAAAGTTTTGTCCTCTGTACAGAGGGGTTTGGCCACCTTAATTTTAGAAATTGTATGAAATACCTTTGAGTAATTTGATAGTTTTGAGGCTCCTGTCAGCATTTTTATTGTTCATAATCTCAAGTGGAAACAGTCTATTACCAAGGGCAACAGTAATAGCTACTTTGAATTAACAGTTTTGGGATACTTTGCCTTGCTTCCCTAGAATCTGCTGGTTGCTGCTAGGCAGTTGGATGGATATGAGGGACCTGCTGGTCTCATGAGGGCAGGCTCTATTGTACAACTTTTAGCACTGAGGTGAGAGAAGTGAAGGCCTGGGACCTCATGGTAGCAGCTCCGAATTTGCTCATAGGGCTTCTGCTCCCTGGCCCAGGCTTTTTTCATTGTGTCACCAGCACTTTCTGCAGATGCCACCAGGGAGCATGCATTGTGGAGATCTGGTGACCATTGCTGCTCATGGGTAACCTGGGGAGAAGGCTTGAAGGAGGGTCACCCTGAGTTCTCTCTGAGCTGCTGCCAGTGATGGGGCTGAGCAGAGAGTTGGCCTGAGATAAATATTTTGAAAGCTCTGGATGTACTCAAGTTCCTAGTGAATAAAACCTGTGGTGTGGAGAGTTTTGGTGTAGGAAATACTTACTTTGCAGCATGTAGTTTTTTCATACTTTTGTGCTGGGAAGGATTTGAGCATAGGCCATTTGACTTTTTAGATTATCCCTTGTTCTGATGGCATGCCAGAAGTGCTGTTCTTTCTTCCCTAAAAGAATGTTCTTTTATCCCCATTCTCCTGGTCCCTTAGCCCATAGTCAGCAGACCCCTGTTGCTAGCAAGAGGAGCCAGAAGTTGGGAACACACTGCTGGGTACAGACCTCTGAGCCACCATTCTGCTCTGGCCTCTCCTGGCCTTAGCCATAACCAGCTGACCTGTAGGCAGGGGAGAGGGAATGCACTGACACATTCTTTGTAAAGCTAGCCCCATAAGTGGAACTTGGGACAGTTGCTTGGGAGTTGGGGCTTCCAGGAGGTTCTTGAAACTGATAGGAGAGTCCTTGAGATAGTGTAGGCCCTAGAGCTGCATGATCAGCCTGTTTCCTAAGTGCCCTACACTGTGATCCCTGGAGCCATCCCTTCCCTTCTGCTATACCTCCTGTCAGCAGTTCCACCTGAACCGCAGAAGTGAGGCCCAGCCCTGCTGTCCTCACGTTATGTTGTTGGATGTGGGCACCACCGAGGAACACCCTAAGACTAACCCTGCCTGAGACTCCTGGGGACTTGCTGCAGGGCAAGCTCTCACCTTCACTCACCCACCCTACCAAATCACTGCAGTGCAGCTGGAAGGTCTGTACATGTTTAAGAAGACGAGAAAGAGCCATGCACCCATTCAGGGGCAACTGGGCAACAAGAATTCCTTGACACGTTTAAATATATGCAGTCAGTGGTTTGAGTATGATGGTATCATGATTATGTAGCAAAAGGAAAAACACTTTTGAAAGTGATATGTGCTTATGCTATGGAGTCCAAGTTGTCCAACTGGGTTTGAAAATGAGAGGGTAGAGAGGAAGTGAGGTCAGCATACTCTGACAGATATAGGCATATGGGCTCAGTCTTGGTTCACAGTTCAAGTCTGTCTGCCATGATGGTGTGTGAAAGTTTACATATGAAAAGGGAGAGAAAAGCTGGGGCACAGCTCTAGCTAAATCCATTGGGTTTGTAAACATGGAAGGAAGGACTCTGCTTTGATCACCTCTTCTACCCAGCTCCTCCCCCTCATGTTGCCAGGAATGCTCCATGGCTTGGTGTACTAGAGAAGTGGCCATCTGGTGGTATTGCCCCATTTGTGTGCCCCAGGCCAAATGCCGAGATCCATTGGGATATATAGAACATGAGCTAGCAAAGTAGGACTGTCCCCCACAGCTGCTGTGAAGAGGGCAGGCTGTGCCCTGTCCCTCTGATCTAGTGTAAGGTTGCCTTTAGAAGAGCTTGACGAAGCAGCATTCGGGGCTTTGCCAGAGTGAGGGAAGGGAGGCCTGACCTTCATTGAGTTACTCAGGGACATCAGGTCCTTCTCACCACTCAGAAGGCTAGGTCTAAGCGAGAGTGTTTTCTAAGACAGTCAAGGTGAACAGAAGAATGTAAGAGGCCTCCTCTGACAGAAGAGTGAATGTGGCCCTGCCCTTCATTTTTCTAGCTACTAAGCCCAGCCGTTTGTGGTAGTTCCTCATACTGGAGCTTCCTGGCATGGTAGAAGCATTCTTACACTTGAGCCCATTTTTCTTTGTTTGCAAGGACCTGTAATAATCATGCACCCCAGGGTCCAGAATGGTTGTGGTGTTCAACTGCTGCGAGCCTGCCCATGGCCAGCATGTGAGGACAGAGGCAGGGATTTCTGCACCTCTGATGAGAAGTACTTAAATAGAACAGTGAGTTGTGTAGGGGAAGCAGCGCAGGTGCCTGTCCTTGATCGCCCCCTCTCTTTGGCATAACGCAGGAGAGTAAGAGGGTGATATATGCAGGGCATACCTGAAGAATGTGTGGAGTGTGCACATTTGGAAGTGTTGACTTTTTACTAGGATGGGCACGCCTGTAGCCACTGCGTGAGGTGAGGCCTGCAGAGTGGGGTGCATTGTGAGGGAGGCTTGTGCGTGTCATGGTTCCTCCCAAGGACATGAGCACAAGGACCACCATACCCCCCACCCCCCCCGCAAGCACCATAGTGCCTGCGTGGTTGCTTTTACAAGCATAAGCATGGGATGGCTTTGGGGAGTCCTGGCTGAGTTGGCCAGATGTATAAGAGGGTTTTAAGAAGGCATCTGAGATCTCCATCTATTCTGAGCCCTTGCTAGGGAGAGGTGAGGCCAGCCACCCCTTCTCTGAAGCATCCCTCAAGCCAAGAGTCCCAGCTCCTCTGTATTCAGAGTGGCCTTTTATTGGCGCCATCAGCATATGCTAGCTTGAGTGCCCTGCCCCCAAAGCCTCCAGATGTCTTCTGGGAGGTGGTAAAGGCCTGCGTTAGTCTACCAGCAGGATGATTGGCTCTGTGTAATTGAGAATTTGTTTTATTGTTATTGTCACCATTAGAAATAACGGCCTGCCCTCATTGTAAAAGAGGTCAACTGACTAATATTTAATGGATGAAATAAGGCACAGCTTTTTCCTGGATCTAGTTTATGGGAGATTTCACTGAACAGCTCGGTTCAGTTTTACTAGAACCTGGAGCACAGTGCTTTGGCTCGTGGAGGATCTGACTAAGTGTAGGAGTTGGCAGTTTCCTCAGACACACTTTGGGTTCAGTGTCCCCATGAGCTGCTATCGTGTGGTTAAGGAGCTAACTTAAGCATGGTCATTGGGTTTCTATGTGTTTGGTTTATTTAAAGTAAGAGTTCCTGATTTTGAGAAGTTGTAGAATAACTTTCAGGATGAGACTGTTTTCACATCATCCAGACTGTGAGAAAAGGCAGAGGGGTTGGGTTGTTGGCCTGTTTGCCCTTCACCTTCTGAAGGCTGGAAACAGCAGGCTTTGTCTGAAGGCTGAACTGACTGCTGGGGCCCCAGTGAAGGAGTCTGTTTCTGATGAGATGGGACTTAGGAAGCCTCATGATGTGGCTGACCTGGAAGTCAGCTGTGGGTTGGTGGGTACCCTTGGGAGTGGGTGAACAGGCATCTCTGTCTGTGCCCTGCATTGGCTGAGCCTGCTCTAGATGTGAGTGGGTACTTCCTACAGGCAGGTCCTGTTCCTGGCCCTTAGGAACCTTCGAAGTTTGTTTCAGGCGCAGGGCCACATGGTAGGTGGATGCCTAGGCTGTCCTGTAATTTTTTTTTCCCTAGAGCACACCTTTCCTTTCTTCTTTTCTCAGCCACAGGCTGGTGCTTGTGTTCCTCATGGGTCTCATGTTTACATAGGTTGAAGAGAGAGCAGGCCTCTAGTCTAGATCTTCTCTGGTTCTTGGTGGGGTCCTGGACAAGAGCTATCCCTCCCTTGGGAAGGGGTGAGCCAGATTGGCTCTTTCTGGAGGCTTTCTCTCTGTCCATCTGCACATTCTAGCCTGGACCTATTGATTTTAAGAATCCCCAGGCATTCAGCCTCCTTAGCAAGCCCTTTAGAAACGCCTAGAAGACATTATAATTGAAGGGGCTGCAGAGTTGGTGGTGAGCACTATCTTCAGTTGTTCCTGGTCAGACACATTCCAGTGCTGAGGGGATCAGAACATGCTTTTTGGTGAGTCCCCAATGTCAGAGAGGAAGGAACCTTGCATCTAGTTGTCCAGAAAGCTCTTGGGGCTTCCCTGGGTGGAAGCTGTAAGTTGCATACCTAGTGAGAGGAATATTCTTTCCTCTGTGTGTATTGTAGGGGGCAGAGGTTAGTTTGTAAGAAAATGGTATACTTAATGCTAAGGCAGAAGTCTTGTCCCGTGCTTCAAGAACCTAAGACCTTATTCCCTGGAAAGCTGACCTTTGCACCCAGCTACCTAGAATGTAATGAACCTCTGGTCTACTGCATATAAGTTCTAGGGTCTTGCTCAAGAAGCCTTTCCTCTAGGCCTTGAGGGCAAGAGTACAGATCATGGTGACCACATCCTAACCACCACAGTGCATGGCAGATGCAGGGAGCTCTGGGGCCATCTTGATGGATACCTCTTCTGGCCAGTTTGGGACCCTTTATGCCCAGAATGTAGTACACAGAAGTGGATGGCAGGTTTTAGTTCCAGTTTGCATTGCTTTCTGACTCCGTTTCCCCCTCACTAGAACAGTAACCAGTACTGTTTCTCCTGCAAGGCTACTGCCTGAGAAACTCCCTTACCCCCTTGAGTGGTTCTTAGATAGCTCAGGCTGGCATGTTGATTTCCACTTGGCACTGTAAGGGACCTCTTGAGGCTAAGTGGAGCATGCAATTCCAGCCTGTTTTCACCATGAAATTCTAATGGTGCTAGAGGAATTTCATTTCAGAGCGGGGTGGCCGGGTACTGTAAACCTGTAATCTCAGCACAGGTCAGTGTTCTGCCTACCTCTCTCAGACGCTTGTCAGGTAGCACTGCCCTAATGATGCATTTTCTTTCTCCTAATGCTCCCTGGCCCCCTACTTGTATCCCTTTGTGCCTGGATGTTTGGAAACTGCAGAACTCTGTTTGGAAACAAGATCAAGTCTGTGGCTAAAAGAGCATTCTCAGGGCTGGAAGGCCTGGAGCACCTGTAAGTATCTTGCCAGACCCTGCCTGACTCACAGGCCTGCCAAATGTGGCTGCCGGGGAAAGTCTGCTAGCAATTTAATCGCGTCTTTGTAAACCAAGAAACAGGCTATTTGGAAGTGCCAGCTGCTTCCTTCTCATTATAAGTCAGCTTCAACTTCAGCCTTTATTTTGCTTATGCCAGGAACACTCACAGAGCATATGGCCCACTGGTGTACTCCCAATTAATGCAATTGGTATTTGGACAAATATCTTCCTTGGTCCTGCTGGGCCACATCACCCTCACATCAGGCTCCCTCATAGGCCCTTGATCTCACTGCCACTTCCATAAGGATGCTTTATCCTGGCAAAGCCAAGAAACCCCGTAGCAGTTCAGCCATGCTGAGTGCATGCTGGGTCCTCACTGGGAGCTTTTCTGCTGGGTTCTTTGGGACCCCAAAGTCTGTGGGACTTTGGGACAAAGTAGACAGCATTAGCCCTGAGATGTTCATGTTGTTGCTGAGGTGGATGCCTCTGGTATCTGGCTGTTCGTTTTATTCTTCTTTGAATTAAGGCAGTCTTTATTCTGCTGGGTAAGTTTTTGCCAGTCTTCCACATAGCTTTGAGGCTGCTCTTATGGTTGGCTTGGTCCCCGAATCATTCCATGTGCTTGCGTCAATGTGAGAAATGGGAGCCACCCCAATGGAACCAGTACATGGGTCATCTGTAAATCAGGGCTGTCCTGGAAAAATCCCTGTGTGTCCTCATTCAGAGTCACAACTTGAAGAGCACCCAGGATTCCTTTGCACAAGTTACTGTGTTCTGTTGCAGGAACTTGGGAGAGAATTCAATCAGGTCTGTCCAGTTTGATGCCTTTGCAAAGATGAAGAATCTTAAAGAGCTGTGAGTACCTGGTAGTCCATAACCTGATTAACATGAGTGGAGACTTTTGGAATAATTTGCATTATGCTTACTTTATGTAATACTCTGATAATCTATGGGTTGGATGTAAGTCATCCCTATCAGAGAAATGCCCTCTGAGGCTTAACTCTGGATGGGACGTAGCAAACTTTTTCTGAATAGTAAACATTTTGGACATTATGAGTCATAGGGTCTGTGTCATAACTACTTAAAGGCGTTATTGTAACAGAAAGCAGCCATGATAATACAATTGGGTGTGACTATGTACTTAGCATACTGATAGAAATAGACAGTGGGCCTGTGGCTGAAGTCTGCTAAGTGCTGTGCTAGATAATGTAAGATTAAAGTCTCTTCTATAATGTGGATAATCACCCTTTTAAGTATACCTTTTGATGTTTTAGGTTTGCTTTTGTGTTGAAAGCATCTTTCTGAAGGAGCTTGGTGGACAGTGGGCAAGGTGGCAGTGGCCTGATTGTTGGTCTCTTGCCTGGGTTCCCTTCAGTTGCTGCAGTTACCCAGCCATGGCTGACCCTGGGCCCAGTCCTCTGATGGGAGAAAGAGATTCACTTCATTTGGTCATTTTTTTCCTCCATGAGATCACGGCAGGTTGTACTGTGCACTTAGTCTCTGGGTAAATTTCCATAAGCAATAAATAGAAACACACTTCCAGTTGGAATCATGAAAATGCACAGTGTAAGCCAGTGAAGTATTGGGCTAACGGTGCCTGTTAGAGAAGTGAAGATTGAGTTTTGTCAGAGGGAAGGAAAGACTAGAATCTGCAGGGCCTGGGGCAACGCATAGTCCCACCATCCAGCCAGGCCTGGACTTGCCCTCTAACTGGTGGAGTGTCATGGCCAGTGTGTTAGTATTCTCCCTGGTGTCTAGCTCCAAGTCTTCCACCTGTCCTCTGGGCAGTATTACTTGCTAAGAATCTTCATTACTGGGGCTGGAGAGATAGCTAAGCAGTTAAGAGTACTAACTGCCCTTGCAGAGGAACTGGATTCAATTCCCAGCACCCACATGGCAGCTAACAGCTGTCCATAACTCCAGTTCCAAGGGATCCAACACCCTCTTCTGACCTCCATGGGCATTATATGACACAGGTGTACTTACACACGTGCAGGCAGTACACTTCAAGTTAATAAAATAAAATAAAACAATGAAAATAAATACTAAAAAAAGAATCCTCATTACTTAGGAAAACCTTTTCTACTGAGTGCCCATGGTTCTGCTGGGTCTAGCCTGGCCTCCTCCCCAAGGTAGGCTTCACAGTAGTGGTGGAAAGTCCTCAGAGCTGAACCCAGCAGATACACTGAATGTGATATAAAGCCAGACTTTGTGCACATACATCTGATCAGAGTTTGAGCTGAGTTTTATTTTCCCCTATCTGTGCCTGTGTCTAATATAAATATATCCCTGTTCCCATGTAAGTCTCACGGTAGCATTCCAGCCTTGTTCTCTAGGCTTTTTGCTGTGTGTCTTGCTCCACCACATACAAGTGCCCTCTTGATGAGGATGGGGGTTGGTTCTGTTAATGGAGAATCCTAGCCCTTCACCTGGCCCAGCACAGCCAGCCCACCCCACACAGGGCTCATTCTTCATTGCTTGCCTCCCTGTATGTGGTGTGAAAATTGGCCACTTTCTAATGGTCAGTGTTGATGGCCTCCTATCACAGTAGCCCCTCAGTAGGACAATCCTTAAATGTCTCTCAGCAGAATATTACCTGCCCATCAAATGGTGGTTAAACCTTATACTGATTCTTGGGTCTGTCTGACAGGGACAAGCATCCCTATTTTAAGGCATTGAGATAAATTATTGCAGTCTTTGGAAATGTTCTAAAATGGTTTGAAGAAGTTGAGCTATGTAGTTTATATGTCATGACAAGGAACAGGAGGGTTCATGTCATCAGCCCTAGTTAGTGCTGGTTCGCCTTCCTTGCTGCTTACTAGTTTGACAGCTACACTGCTCATGAGAAAGCAGGAGAGCTGGAAAACAGAAAGCTAGTCTGTGTGTGTTGGTGTGCGAGGGTAACGGGTTTGGAATTTCTAATCATGCTTGCTCCCTTTGCTACCACATCCCTCAGGCTGTTCACGGTGGAAGCCCACGCATTATTTTCTTGGTGTCCTCCTGGCTATGGGCCAGAGTCACTGTTTAACTCTAGCTTTCAGGTCTTCTAGGATCAGAGTCTGGGTGACTTTATCTGAGTGACTCCTGAGGAAGGAATGTCTACTCAGATGGCCACTCTGATTTCTGTATGGAAAGTGTATCCTCAGTTGCTGAGAAATGAAAAAGAAAATATTCTCTGTTTTGACTGGAGCCTCACAAGACCAGAGTTGCATTCTCATGCTCCCTGGGCTATAGCAGTTAACTGAAAAGCTCTGTTTAGGAGGTGGCACCGAATTCTGCCGGCTTCTTCAGTGGTGCTGGGACGGAGATAAATACACAAACAAGAGGGAGGCGCCACTGAGGCTTGAGTTTGGAAGCTCAAAAGAAAAAAACTTTTTCTAAGTAAAACTAATAACAGCCATATAGGAGGAAAAGACTTAGAATTTGTTGCAGAATTTAGGTCAGATCAGTCTGTTTGAGTTTGGAAGTTCCAAGTAGTTTACCAGAAATGCAGAACCCAGAGGGGCCCAGTGCTCCTCTTGCCGTGGGATGCACCCATGTGTTAGAAGGCATCCCCAGGGTGACAGAGAAGCATGCCCTGTAGAACATGGGTGACCTGCAGGGTGCTGCTATTCCAGGTGGACTGTCTAGACCAGCAGTCTCAGCATCTTCAGGGGCTTGTGAGACATGCCAGCATCTTGGGTTCTGCCCCTTCTGGCTCCATCAGAAGCTGCAGTTCACGCCAGTCTCCAGAGAGGTTGCATGAACCATTCTGGGTCACTGGAGAGAACTGTGAGGAACAGCATTCCCTGCGGAGCTTGCTGTCCTGGCATCCCCAGCTGACTGATGATGGAGCATTCTGTGTGTCAAGGAATCCCCTCCTTTGCAGACACATGCTAAGTGTCCACCTCTGCTTCCCTTTCAGCCACATCAGCAGTGAGAGCTTCCTGTGTGACTGCCAGCTGAAGTGGCTGCCGGCGTGGCTAGTGGGCAGGACACTGCAGGCCTCTGTGACAGCCACCTGTGCACACCCAGAGTCACTGAAGGGCCAGAGCATTTTCTCAGTGCTGCCGGAGAGTTTTGTATGTGGTAAGACTGCCTTTGAGATTTGTGTGTGTATAGGGCAAAAAAGACAGGAACTTCTCATTATGGGAATAATTCCTGTGATCCTAGTTAACCCAATCCATGGTTACAGATCAGCTGCTGGGTGCAGTTTATTTCCCACGGAAACCACACACAGTATTTACTGTGTGCTACCTCATTATGTGGTTCTTGGAGTACATGTATTTAATTAGAAGGGAGTAGGTTCAGCTACAAGTCTGAATAACCGGTTACAGGAAGATCGTTCTGGACTTTCAGAAGGGCTCTGGTGCCCAGGTTTGACTGTGAATTTATGTAGCACACAAAGATGGGACTTCAGTGTGTTTTTCTTTAGAGCCCCAAGAATGAGAGGCTAAACACAGGAAGGATGAGTCTCAGGAGACAGCCACTGTAGTAAAAATAATTCCTCGATGCTGACTTGCACTCTTGGTATTTGTCCAAACCTCTGAAATCTGCACTGGTGGTTTGAAATTCTTTCTTCAGATTTCTGGACTATAACTCTTGCCATCTTTTCGACTAGGAGTGGTTAGGACCCAAGTTTGGTTACAAAGAGCAGGGAAAATGCTCACAGCTGAACACACATAGACTAGCTCAGACAAGACTAACAGCCTCATGGCCAAGAAGATAGAGTCCAAAACAAGTAGAATTTTGAGTTGTTCTGGAGTTTGCTCTGAGCAGAAGGGAGAGTGTGTGTCCTTCATCTGTGGGCCTTTCTGGTCTCCCTGAGCCTGGGGATCCCTATTTGGACATTGCTAGTTATGATGACCACCCCCACCCCCACCCCCACCAGCAGCATGAGTGTCCCTGTGGGCCACTTGTCAGTCCCATTCTTTATTAGAAAAGTAGCCAGAGTGCCTGCTGGGGGTGAGTGACGTGTCCTCCTGCCCATGCATCCTTCACTTCCAACATACTAGTTCCCAGAGCAGGCTTGCTGGCCTTCTTCCCAAGGGAGACTACAGAATTGGTCACCAACACTGGAGACAGCCTGCCTCACTGAGCTTCCCTACTCCTCAGTGCTGTGCCTCCTGAGCAGAATCTAAGGCTGTGCAGAACTCCTTAGTCATAGAAGAGCCATGCATGCCGCACTTTCCGTCTAGTGCTGGCTGAGTCCATGACTTCTTGGAGTTTACCTGTCTGTGGCTTCCTCCTCTGTCCTGCTGCAGGGTAGTCTTCTCTTTGCATGAAGCCTGCTGCATCTGATCCCTGACTGGTGGCTCTGTGGTACTCAGGACTACAGCAACTTTCTCCTCCTCTAAGCCACTATTAATGGGACTCATGAGACCCCTTGACAGGCGATCAGAGGCTCAAACTCTGTGGTGTCTCCTACTCATGTTTTTAGGAAACAGAAACAACCACCTCACAGAGTCTGGGAAGTCAGCATGTTCTGGGGATATGTATTAGGTCTCTTTGGTTCATAGTTTTGTTCAAGTCTTTGTTTCCTTGTTGGAAGTGATGTTGAAGACTACAAACTTACTATTGCATCGTTTTTGTCTTCAGTTTTGTCAGGTTTTTTATGTGTTGTAGAGCTCTTTAAGGGCATATCTTTTCTCTGTCTTTCTGATGGACGGACCCTTTTACATGAGAAGCTACTTTGCCTAAAAATTAGTATAGATACCTTTTGGTGACTGATTATGTGTGTTTGAATAGAAAGTGTCTCTTGTAGATAGCATATGGCCAGGTCACTTTTTTGTTCACTGTCCTTGCCCCTTTGGTCAGTGTTTAGTTCATTAACTTCTTTTACTATAATTACTGACAAGGTAGAACTTGCTGCCTGCTATTTGTTTCCTATGATTTATTTTTATTTCTCCAGTATAGACTAGTTTTGTATTTAATAGATGTTTTCTGGTATACCATTTGAATTCTTGTGCGTGTACATTTGCTGTTACTTTCTTTGTAGCTGTAAAGGGGATTGAAATTAACATATTATAGGGCTGGTAAGATGGCTCAGTGGGTAAAGACATTTGCCACTAAGCCTGAGGATCTAAATTCAGTCCCTGGAACCTTCATGGTAGAATGAGAGAACCAAATCTCACAAGATGTTCTCTGACCTTCACACATGTGCCATGGTATGTGTACCCTCCCACCATACACTAGACAGACATCTAACAAAAAAAATTTTTTTAACACAGTAAAACCATCTAGTTCAGAATAACAAGGTTCATTTCAGTATATGCGAATGTTCTTATTCCTCTTATGGACTGTCTTCTCTGTGTCTTATTAGGCAGATTATATCTTCATATATTGTAGCCTGTTAACACAATTGTATAACTTTTACTTTATGTAGTTACCTTTTAAATCCGGAGAAGAGTTACAAAAATGTGCTTATGCTGACTTTTATGTTTACATATGTAATTTCCTTTGCTTTTGATTTGTTTGTATGGATCCGAGTTGCTGTGTAAGATCCTTTCCCTTCAGCCTGAAGGACTCCCCTTGAATACTTGTACAGATCTGCTAGCAAGAAATTCTGTATTGCAGGTCTTTCTTTTTCTTTTTTTTAGACAGGATCTCCCTGTAGCCCCAGCTGGCCTGGAACTCACTTTGTAGACCAGGGTAGCCTCAAACTCAGAGATCCGCCTGCCTTTGCCTCCCGAGTGCTGGGATTACAGGCGTGCGCCACCACACCCGGCTATTGACTTTTTCTTTTTTTTAAATTTGGAAATGTTTTAATTTTCCCTCATTTTTTAAGGGCAGTTTGGCTGGATATAGAGGTTGTTGATAATATGTTTAAGGACTTTGGATATATCCTTCCACTGCCTTCCAGCCTCCCTAGTTTCTGATGAAAAGCTGATTATTCCTGTTTTATAGGATCTTTTCCGTGTAATGAGTTGACCCTGTGCTGTTTAACACTGAGTAGGTCAACTTTAACAGGTTGACTATGATGCATGTGGGTGTAGACTTCTGAATTTACTCTATTTGTAGTTCCTGAAACTTTTGAGATGTATGATTGCATATTTTTCATCAAATTTGGTATGCTCAGGTCTATTTCTAGCCTTTCTCCTATGTTTGTGTATTGTGTGTCGCTCTGCCTGGTAATGCAGCACAGGTCTCTATCCAGTTTTCTTCATGTTTGCTTCTTGGAATGACCTGTTTCAAGTTCAGAGACTGTTCAGCTCACTCAGTGCTACTATCGTGCACCTCGAAATGAAACTAAAATTTTACTCTATTTTAATCTCTGTATTTGGTTCATTTTTATAATTTCTGTCTATTAAGAAAGTGTTCTTACCAGGCATGGTGATGCACACCTTTAATCCCAGCACTTGGGAGGCAGAGACAGACGGGTCTCTGAGAGATCAAGCCTAGCCTGGTTTATATAGCAAGTTCTAGGCCATCTGGGGCTGCAGGGAGATGCTGTCTCAAAAAACAAAACCAAACCAAACAACGTATTATCAGACTGTAATTTTTGCATAAGGTTTCCCACAGTTCGAGTACTTCATAGTAGTAGATTTGGAGTCATTTTTTTAAGTCCAAGAGTCAGAGTTCCTCAGGAACACTTTCTGTTAAGTGCCATTTTCCTATTTGGGTACTGCGTACTTTTGTTGTTGAAAATTAGGCAGTAAAAATGAACTAATGTGGGCAGTCTGGGGATGAGCGTTTCTGTGAGTCCTCCTGGGCTTGTTGCTATTTATGGCCAGCTTGTTTAGTGCTGTCTCCTGGACACCTGCTGTAAAGCCAGCTCTGCATAGCCCCTTGGGTTCCTGCTTGGTTACTTTAGTGATTAGCCAACAACTGGACATAAAAGTCCGCACCAAGCATCCCATCCTTTACACAGGGTCTCTGGGTGTTGGGTTTTGCCATCATCCTATTTGTGCAGGTGTTGAAGAAACAGAAGCCTCTCAGACCTATCCTGGGTGGGTGTATAGTCCTGTGCAACAGCATGGCCTTCTAGATGCTCAGGAATCTTTTTTTTTTTTTAAGCCTAATGCTGGTATTTACTTCCCTTGATTCTCTTAAAGCTGCTTTGCCTGCTGCTCATGTGCTGGGCTGCTCCAGTCTCCTGAACAGCTGTGCTGTTGAATAGTGGCTCTTGACCATTCATCAGCTGCTCAGCAATGGGGCTTCCTCTGTCCAGCATACTCCTGCAGACTCATGGGGGAGTTTCCCAGGTGCTGCCAGACAGATCTCACAGTGATGGTGCTGTCTTTTACTGCTTGCTAGCTACTGGGTTTCCAGTCTGTCACAGACCTAGGGACGGAACATGGATATACGAGCTAACTTTTCTTATAGCGATCTGGTCATTTTCTTGAACAGTCTATGATCATTATTAAGTACATGGTTTTTCCCACAAATCTGATAATAACTGATTTTGGCCATTTTGTGATGTTTTCCTTGTTATGATGGTGCAGATGCGTGAAAGTCCTCATACTCTGGAAATGCAGCATACCCCAGTCCTTTTGGAATTAGGTCTGTGCAGCTGTGACTATGAGTTTTGATAAAGTGAGTAAGGTTGGCATAGCTATCTGAAGGAAACACCAGGCTGGTTTGATGAGCTGATTATTCATAGGTCCATTTCTAACCAAGGAAGCAGTCAGGCCTGAACTATGACGCAGCTCTTACAGTGAAGGTGGAACTGACTGCATGGGTACTGTAAATGTTCTGGTCACTGCTCAGCATCTGACCCAGTTCCTTGTGAGCTTGAGCAGTAGCTGGTCCCCATGCATGGAAAGCCTGGTGCTTTACAGATGGTCCTTTTCTCGCCAGATGACTTTCCAAAGCCACAGATCATCACCCAGCCTGAGACAACCATGGCTGTGGTGGGCAAGGACATCCGGTTCACGTGCTCAGCAGCCAGCAGCAGCAGCTCCCCCATGACCTTTGCCTGGAAGAAAGACAATGAGGTCCTGGCCAATGCAGACATGGAGAACTTCGCACACGTCCGTGCACAGGACGGGGAAGTGATGGAGTACACTACCATCCTGCACCTCCGTCATGTCACCTTTGGGCACGAGGGCCGCTACCAGTGTGTCATCACCAACCACTTTGGCTCCACCTATTCGCACAAGGCTAGACTCACTGTGAATGGTAGGGAAATGGCATCCTGTGCTTCTGAAGCAAGACTCCCACTAATCCCACTCCTGACTTGTCTGTCATTGTTGTAGAAATGACTAAGCAGACACACAAGCCTCTATGACATATAGTTCTTCATTGTTCCTGTGTTTGCCCTAGAGCAGGTTTTATAGATTAAATCATCTTTTTGGTTTTGAGTGGCTTAAAAAATCTAGTTATGACAGTAAGTGAAATTGTGGAGTTAAACCTTATACTTTTGTCTGTTTATTGTCCTTTATAAACCAACAGATCTGGTTTCCAGACTCCAAGTATCCCTAGATCCTGAGGAAGAGTCTGTCCTTAGAGTAGCTGAGAGCAAGGCACTTGGGACTCACAGAAGTCCCCATCCCTCTGGAGGCTGGGATGGGGCTGGGATGAGTGAGCCCTGAGCCTTAGAGCCCAATGCGAGGGGAGCCTGTGACAGGGCCCTCTTACTCGGAAACCAACCTACCAGGGTGGTTTTCTTCTGTACTGTTTGGTGTGGTGTGCTTTGGCAAGGAGTGGCAGAGCACGAGTAGCTAAATCTCCAACCCCAGGCTGATGGAAGAATTGGCTCATGGGTCATCAGAATTGTGCTCAGCCTACATTTTACATAGTCTTGACTATGCTTTGGCAGATAGTCTAGCCTTGTCTAAAGTCGTCCTCAGTGTTTGCTGAAGACTCAGGCAACAAGAGTCTCCACCAAAGTGGCTTTGACATCGTGTGGTGGTACCCCATGTGGGTGGGTACTGCTACTGTGTTGGCACTGGTATTCAAGCTACATAAGCTAGCGAGCCTCATATTTCTGGTACTATGGCCCCCATATGCCCTCCCTGTGGTGGGTTTCCTCAAGCAGGAAGAGCCATTTCACTAGTTTCCCCATCGTGGAGGTATGTAGCTTTCTCCTAACAGCAGATATTTTTGTTGTCTACCTCCCCCCTAGTAGCTAATTAAAGCAGACAGGCATCAGAACCTTACTTCTGGGGATCCCTATATAGTAATTAGTATTTGATATACAGGAAGCAGAATGTTCATTATAAAGCCTTACCCTTGAGGGGTTACCATCAGCCCAGAGTTAAAGGTTTATAGCAACGCTACCTAGACCTGTGGAAGGGAGAAGCTGGGCAGCACGTGGAAAGATAGTGGTCCTGGGCAGACACTGGCACAAGCATACAGGGTGGGGTGCTAGTGAGCTGAGGCCCAGGCGTGGTGGGAAGATTGTTCGCTGGAGGAGTTGCTTGTCTTTGCATGTAGTGGCCCCATAGAACCTCACCTGTGTGTTTTCCAGTGTTGCCATCATTCACTAAAATACCCTATGATATCGCCATCCGGACTGGCACCACCGCCCGCCTTGAGTGTGCTGCCACCGGCCACCCTAACCCCCAGATCGCCTGGCAAAAGGATGGAGGTACAGATTTCCCTGCAGCTCGTGAGCGACGCATGCACGTCATGCCCGATGATGATGTGTTCTTCATCACTGATGTGAAGATAGATGACATGGGGGTCTACAGCTGTACTGCCCAGAACTCAGCTGGCTCTATTTCAGCGAATGCCACCCTGACTGTCCTAGGTTTGCTATTGATATTGATGTGTGGGGTGGGGAGTGGTGGGATGGGATAGGCTCTTACACATTGCAGGCACCTAAAGGAAGTTGTCACACTGTTCTCTGGATTAAGTGTGGTGGGCTATTTCTAAGCAAGAGGTTCTGGCTTTTAAGCAATCAGCAGTGAATTCAGTCTTGATAGGACTCACTATACAACAGACTAAGCTACCCTCCATGTGGGGGGCGTTTGGATGTGTTCTTGGTCAGGAATAAGGACAGGTTTGTCATGGTACAGTATGGGGAAAAAGTAGGGTTTTGTGATCAGAGTTTTCTCAGAATAGTAATGACTTAGTCACATGTTAGGTCTTTTGAAAAGCTTAGGACTCTGACAAAAAGATCTCAAATGGCAGTTCACTGATATATGGGATTGTCCCATGTCCAGAAAACAAGTAGACCCCCTGCAAGTAAAGCCCATAGAATAAGCGGAGAATAGTCTATGGGAATAAGCCCATAGAATAACAATCTCCACTGACTTCTTACAGAAACTCCATCCTTGGTGGTGCCCTTAGAAGACCGTATAGTGTCTGTGGGAGAAACAGTGGCTCTCCAGTGCAAAGCAGCTGGGAGCCCTGCACCCCGCATCACCTGGCTCAAAGGGGGTCGCCCACTGAGCCTCACGGAGCGGCACCACTTCACTCCAGGCAACCAGCTGCTGGTTGTTCAGAATGTGGTGGTGGAGGATGCAGGCCGGTACACTTGTGAAATGTCCAATCCGCTGGGCACAGAGCGAGCTCACAGCCAGCTGAGCATCTTGCCTGCCCCTGGCTGCCGGAAGGATGGGACCACTGTAGGCATCTTCACCATCGCTGTTGTATGCAGCATCGTCCTGACGTCACTGGTTTGGGTGTGCATAATCTACCAAACCAGGAAAAAGAGCGAGGAGTACAGCGTCACCAACACAGGTCGGGCAGTACAGACTGCTGAGGGTGGGAGGGGAGGCAGTGGCACATGCGCATGTGGGCGGTTTTATCGGGAATTTGCATATATTCTAGAACTTTAGGAATATGGATTTCTTCTATAGAGCTGAGGTAGCCCCACTCACACCAGGTTAGTTCTCAGGTACATAACATGAAACAAGAATACTCTCCAACACAAGTGTCTGCCAGCCGCTGCAGTTTCTGGTTTCCTTGGTAAATCAGACATCAAGGCCTGTGCTTGATGTCATGTGGTAAACCGCCCTGAGCTGTTGCAGTGCTCTGCCTCTGTTAGGTCCCACCTTCATTTTCTTTTTTTATTGCTGTTCTCCATCTTTGCGGAATCAGACATCTGACTGCCATGCTTTTACACCAGGATATGAAATAGGTTAAGCGGGTTGAGGGGTCTGCACAGCCTTTGGCCATTGGGTCTGACAGTGAATATATGTCTGTTTATTGTTGCTATGACCCTGTTACTTTACCGTCTGTCCCCTTGCAGATGAAACCATTGTGCCTCCAGATGTTCCAAGCTACCTCTCCTCTCAGGGGACTCTTTCTGACCGGCAGGAAACTGTGGTCAGGACTGAAGGTGGGCATCAGGCCAACGGGCATATTGAAAGCAATGGTAAGTTCTCAAGAACAGTGAAACAGTCTGATGTGACTGTATCACCAGGTACTGGACTCAGCTTATATAAGTTCCTCTCCAGGGTAGGTACCTGGTGGTAGGTACCTGGTGGTAGATGGGGCACAGTTGGTGAATCATAGGGTGTTTGACCAGAAGACATTGTTTTGCGCCAGACCTGGTTATGTCTGAATTCCGTGGTTTTAATATCTGGTCCCTCAGAAGTCCCTCTGTTGGGCTTAGCGCTAAGTCTTCTAGTCAAGGTGGGACTGCCAGAAGAACAGCTGCAGAGGACGTTCCAGGTCCTGAAACCAGCCCATTGCTTATACAGTAGTGTGGGCTCAACCAACTACAGACTGAAAATATTTAGAGATTTTACATTGTTATTGAGTACTAAAAGTTTGTCAGAGGAGGCATGTAGCTTATATGCAAACTGCATCATTTTATAGAAAGGACTTGAGCATCCTTGAGGGGCCCTGGAACCAGTCCCCACTGGATACCAAGGGATAATGGTACAGGAGAAGTCCCAGTCTTCTCCCAGTCTGTGTCTCACAAGGGAAAGCCCTCACATGGGCATGCTACTTCAGACAGATGGTGGGGCCCTCTGAGTTCTTGTCTGGGAATGCTCATTTTCACATGGTTCCAGATGCTGAAACGCCTACCTGCTGAGAAGGTGGCCTTAGAAAACATGTGTTTGCTGGACCTGGTGGGGTGGGCAGATTCATAAGAAACACTGTTGTAGCCTGGCTAGTCAAGCTTCCTGAGAAGTGGCCAGGAAGCTTCTAAGTTGTAGGGGGCTCCATTTCAGGTGTGTGTTTGAGAGATGCAAGCCTGTTTCCAGACGTCGATGTTCATAGCATTGCCTGCAGGCAGCCCAAGCTCTGTGTTGGATATAATAAAGAGTCCTGGAAAGTGGTGGAGAGAGCCAGTGGGACAGCTGCTCCACATAAAACAGGTAGGAGACATGTGCACTAGGGAAAGCCATTTCCTTTTGACATTGAAATGTGGGCTCACTAACTAAATGAGAGGAACAGTACAACTGGTCTCACACCATCTCCGTCACACCATCTCCGAATTGGTATTTGGCATATAAACGGGATGCTCTGGCTTGGTTCCCTTTTAATTCCAGAATCCTGTGTCTCTTAGATAAATCTATAATGTAATAAGCCTGAGTTTTCTTAAAATTATAAGGAACTTAAAAGACAAGGTCCAACAAAACATGGAGGTTAGTATCCTTTCACCAAGACTTATGTCTCACTCTGTAGTCTAGGTTGACCTCAACCTCTTGGGATGCTGATTTACAGGCATGAGCCACTGTGCCCAACTATTGGCGGATGCCCTCTTTAATCATTCTCCACTTGCACCCAGAACTCAGTCTAGCTAGCCAGCTTGCCTCAGGGATCACCCACCTCCACCTCCTGAACTTTAAGACTACAGGAGACCATCATGCCTGCTTGGCATTTACATGGGTGCTGGGGCATATCCTCAAGCTCAGCAACCCACTGAGCCATCTCCCCAGACTCCCACCAGGGCTCTTTGAGGCTTAATTTCTAATTATTCAGCAGACCCTTAATTCTAGGTATGATGCTAATTCAAATCTTCATTTATTTTTCCTGTGATCAAAGTATGCTTCTGAGTGTTAAATTTACTGTGGAACACTTAAGCACAAGAGCACACCTCTTCACTAAGGAAGGGCTTAGTACAGGTCCAGTCCCTCCCTCTGTGTGCATAGTCGGGGGAGAGAAATTACATAGGGAATGAATGATGAACAGGACTCTGACCTTCCAGTCGTGCAGTGGTTGTAGTTCAATTGACCTTTAATTCCGTCTTCAGTGCACAGTGGCCCTGCCGTATACAGTGACTGCAACACTGACATGGATAGTCACTCCAAGGAGCAAGTGATCCATCCTCAGCCTGTGTCCAGAGACAGCACACATCCAGTTACACCAAGCTGTCAAGAGCTCAGGCAGTATGACCAGGAACATTCTTTGCACCATCCTTACAGTGGGACTGCTGATGGGTCTCACACCAACTATGGGGGGTCCCGCTATCCCAGTAACCATGACAGAATACTGCCGTCATTGAAAAACAAGCCAGTGGCGTCTCTGGATGGGAAAGGTAACTAATTGTCTTCATAGGGATGATTAATGGTGGGTTAGGAGCCGCTTACGTGGTAAGCATGCAGGATCTGATGTGCCCTCTTTTTGAACAGGGGATTCCTCTCGGACTTTAGCAAAGTTTTATGAACCAGACTCCACAGACTTCCAGCCTTCTCCTACATTAACTTCAGGCAGCCAAGAGCTCACAGAAGATGCCATACCCACTGAAGCCCAGCACTTGCTTATTTCCAATGGCCATCTCTCCAAGGCCTGCGACTCCAAACCTGAGTCTACACCACTGACGGGACAGTTCACTGGGAAACGGAGGGGAACATTGCTATTGGTGCCAAAAAGCTAGGCTTTGTCTACCTCAGCTCTTGTATACCAATCTCTACAGGAAAGAGGTAGGAGAGACTGTGAAGCTGTGTTCAAGCATCACTGACCTGTACATAGTTTTAACTTCCGTGTGGAGTATCAGTCATTTAAGGACTTGGCATTTGAAGCACAGAAATGCAAGAGGCTATTTGTGTACAAAAGGCAGAAAAAGTATTTGATACCATTGTATATAAGAGTTTTCAGAGATTTCATATATATTATATATCTTTTACAGAGACTATTTTAATCCCTAGTGCATGATTAACAACAGAATTACACAATTTTGACAATATTTTCGTATTAGGTTGCTGTCTAATTTCAAAGGGGGTTGGGAATTGTTCTAGTGCCTTAATGCACAGCTGGAATTAAGAGGTGAAAACATCTGCTGCTCGCTGTTCCTGGCAGGTTGTAGAGGAGGGAAACTTGGCTATGTGTAGACTGTATAGTTAGTGCACTGGCCAGACCTGTGCAGTTGGCGGCAGCCTCCCTGCAGAGCCAGAGGTGCACATGTTATTTGCCCTTGCCGAGGCCTCTCTCTTGTAGGTTGAGGGTGGTTAATCCACCAGAAGCACTGGGTCAGAACAACTGAGTGCTGCCTTTGGTCTCTGCAGCTCACTTTAGGGTAAAAAGCAAATGTGCTAGTCTCAGTCTCCTTTGATTGTTCTTTGAAGCTTTTTATTAAGGCAAAGGCTGCTGGTGTTGGTACCTGTGGATTCTCCAATAGCAAGTTTTAGTTCTGCCAGTATAGCATTACTTTGGGGGGATAAAAAGGAAAAAGTTCACTTTCAGGGCTGATTTCTACTGAGCAAGCCTGTCCACACTATTACCTTGCACAGTGGAACTGGGCTTGGACTATAGCGAGATTGAGTCCTAGACCTGGGCATATTTGCACTTTGGGGACCTGTTGCTAACCATCTTGTGCGTGCCAATGGTAATTCAGTAAAAATGACATGGAAACAAACTTGGTCCTTAAAATCTCAGAAAGCTGAGGGGCGCTGACAGAATGATGGCCCGTCACAGTGTGCCGTCCCAGGTCACCACTGTGCCCAAGGACAAGCACACTCAAGTTTTATTCTCCAGTTAGCTGATTAATGTTACTTCCACAAAATATGTGAATTTGCTGCTTCTGAGAGGCAATGTGAAAGAGGAAGTATTACTTTTATGTACAAAGTTATTTATTTATAGAAATTTTGGTACAGTGTACATTGAAAACATGTAAAATATTGAAGTGTCTAACAAACGGCATTAAAAGTGTCTTTAATAAAGGTTCATTTATAAATACTAAGTGTATGCCGGGGTCCTTGCTCTCATAGATGGCAGCTATTCTGCTTTTAATAATTTTTTTCCCCAAAGCAGCATCACACCCTCTTGGCTCCAGGGAAGACATAGCATTCCACACATGGCTCACTAATTTTTTGCAACCTGGAGCTGGTTAGTCAAGCTGTATGGTCCCAAAGTATGCTGACCCTTCTACTTCAGCCCTTATGTGGCCAGCATTGCCGCCACACACCATGACAAGAATGTACTGCCAGAGAGGATGGTGGTGGTCACAGGGCTTAGCTTGTCAGCTGTGACAAAGTCACTTGGGCCCACTTACTCACTGGAACTACAACTGCACACTGTTGCTCACACACCACAAGGATGGATTGTTGAGCACTTCACTGTAAAATAATACCATCTTGTGTTTTTATGAGAAATCCAAGGGTAATTAGAAACAGCAGCCTGGTTACCAGAAAGAATGCATGCTATGCACCTGCAGTTCATTCTTTTTAAACAAAGCTATAATCTTACACAATAGGAATTAGCCCAGGGGAGAAACACCCACATGCACAGTTGTTGCCCCAAGCCTCCTTCCTTTTCTCAACTGTAGCCAGCTTGCCTTCTGGTAACTCCATCGGACAGCAGGAAGTGAAAGATAGGATCAAACAAGAGCTTTGAAGAGCCTGACCTCAGCTTACCAAGCGTATTTATTCAGGGGTCTGAAGTTGGTCCAGAGTTCCATCATGGACAGTATCCTGGTGGGCAGCCTATACTGCAGATGACATATTCTTGGAGCTGCACTCTTCACAGCACCCCAAAACCCTGGCTTTGCTGTTTGGGTAGCTGAGCAGCCATTCACTGGAAGGCAGGGATGCCACAGGATGTGCATATGTACGGTACTGTCTCTGTCTCATGGGCTCTTCCTGCCCACTTCTAACAGCAAGCCTCGGGTCTGGTCATAGGCACCCAGAAAGATGAAGCCTCCCAGGCTGATTGCTGCCATTCGTGGGAAGACACCTGCAAATAATCTGAGGAGAAGAAAGACTTAGATAAAGAATGCCCAGAGGTTGCACAACACACACTCTGCTCATTAAGACATTCGTGGGAAGACACCTGCAAATAATCTGAGGAGAAGAAAGACTTAGATAGTTAAAGAATGCCCAGAGGTTGCACAACACACACTCTGCTCATTAAGTCCTAGGCACTTAAAATGTGTTTCCCTCCTTGTAGAAGGGCAATTAGTAACATTCCCAAGCAGGCAGAAGAAACCAAACCTGGATCCTTTGCAAGAGCAGCCTTAACTGCTGAGCCATCTCTCCAACCGTGATCCTTCTTTTTTTCACTTAATCTAATTAAGGACACCGGAGGCACAGCCGCAGTGGAAGGGAAGCCCCTCTGTGCTTCAATTCTAGGCACTCAAGGTACCTCATCCCGCTAAGGTAACGACTGAACAGTCTAAGCAGGTCCACAGTGGCAGCAGGGACTCACTCTTTAGAACGTTCTCCTGGTGATTCTCAGGTATCTTTAGACAGTCACTGTGATGTAACTGAAGAAAGGAGTCTATAATGACCCTTGCCTTGTTATGCAATACCTAGAACTGTAAAACAGACAGCTGCAGAAGATAAGGCAGACACCTGCCGCCATGAAAACTTGCGGTGTAGCCACTAAAAAGTTCATGTGATCACAGGTCTGAAGAACACAGCCTTGACTGTGAATGACTGCTTTCTGCGGACACCTGCTCTTAATTTCTTTCACATTGGAACCCTTTTAACCCAGGAGTGCTTTGTATGTAGAAAGATGGTGTTACAAAATCAGAACTTGGGGTGCTGGAGAGATGGCTCAGCAGTTAAGAGCACTGGCTGCTCTTGTAGAGGACCCGGGTTTGAGTCCTACCACCCACATGGTGGCTGACAACTCTCTGTAACTCCAGTTCCAGGGGAATCTGACACCCTCTTCTGACCTCCGTGGGCATTGTACAACATGGGTACACTTACATGCATGTAGGCAGTACACTCATACACACAAAATATAAAATCCAAACTAGGGATGGCTCAGTGGGTAAAGAAGCTTGACGCCAAGCCTGATGACTTGAGTTTTATCCCAGGACCAGTATGATAGGAGAGAACCAGTGATCACAAGTTGTCCTCTGACTTTCATATATATACATGTGCCATGACACAGGTATACCCACATTCCATCCCCCACAAGATAAAAAATGTAATTAAAAACTAGAAAATGAAAACCAGTGGTGAACTAGTGGAAAGACAAACGTCATGTTATGCCATCAGTCATGCCTTCTGAAGATGGGTAAGCTAGCCAAGTGGGGGGAGGGGGCAATTAAGAAAGCTGACTGAAAGGAAGTCCCTGCTGGATACTCAGCATTCCCCCCCCACGCCCCCATTCCGTGTAACTGCTGGAAGCAATCAGCTGGCGTCCCCTTTCTAATCTAGTACTCAACAGCTCAGAGAAAAGGACTTCACTGTACATCATGGGGCCCCTTTTTAAGATGCTGTTTAAGGGGCTGGAGAGAGAGCTCAGTGGATAAACTACTTGCTTTGCAATCAAGAGGACCCGAGATCAGATCTCTGGGCATGATAGTGTTCCTCTGTAATCCCAATGCTTCTATGGTGGACACAATAAATTCCTAGAAGCCCTCAGGCCAGTTGGCCTGGCACATGTAGTGGCGAACTACAAAAGAGACCCTGTCTCAATGTGGACAGCAAGGACCAATGCTCATAAATTACCGCATTAAGGTCACTGTGTCCTAGCCTGAACAAGGGGTGACCTCTCTGGCCCCTCCCTACAAAAGGAAGGTGGCAGGGAGACACTGAGCTGCACATCGGACTGGCCATCAACTCCCTCCTCTGCTTTCTTACTGTTTTCTAAAAACCGGAGCCTTGTTCAGCCACTAAGCAGCTCAGTAGCTCCTGGCAGATGAAACAGTTCCGGCTCCACTAGACAACTGAACCTGAAGTAGAGCCTCTGTTCTGCAGTGCCCACCCACATTTGCAGGCAGACTTGTGAGCAGGGCAGGGTATGTTCCAACCATAGCAGGTGACAGGACACTAAATGCCCCATTTCTTACAGGCTGGCACAGAGCAGGAGGCCAGCAGTGACAGGTACATAAAGGCACAGTCATGAAAACCAAAAAGATCTACAAGTAAAGGAGGTGAAGTCCAGGACCAGCGGCCCCTCTCCCCTCTGCCGCTGAAGGAGCATGAGAACCAGTCTGCCCTCTAGCAGGACCTTTGCCTATGGAACCAACAGCAAGAAGATCTGCATCTACTGTGTGAGGCAGCACCTTCCTTACAAGGAGGGAGCAGAGCCCAACCCAAAGTGTGTACTTGGTAGGCTTGGTGTGTATGCAGGCTGGAGACACCACAAAGGAGGTGGGCGGAGCCACCTGCACCGGAGAGGACGTGCAGCTGCCCAGGAAGGGACCCGCTGTGCTCATCTGTTTTGTAGTCTAATCCTATGTTGTCTTTTGTCCTGTCAGTGAAGGGGCTGACTGAAGCTGCTGGTCCTCAAGTCGCAACCTTTGCTACCTAAACTTGCTGCTCAGCTCTGCCCTGTGCACAGTAAGTAGGGCTCAAGACTTGAGACCTAGAGAAAGTAAACAAAAAGTGCAGATTTTCAGAGCTAACCCTGGGACAGGACATTCACCCTTGACCCATTTTGATTTCTCTCCTCTGCCTGTATTGCTGGCATTGCTTAGTTTTATAGTCGTGTGTGCACACCTGGGACAGGGAAGACAGGTCTTGCTTCATTTATGCAGCATGATTCTTCCCCAGCGGCTCTGATGGTGTTGCTCCATCCATTATGGCATCCCCTACCACCACTTTCTCCACATAGGCAGGTAGGCTACGACATCACACCAGATCCACAGTGCCATGACCAGAGGCCTGACCGACAGTTACCACAGAATCTAATAACTATGTGGAAACAAGACCTCTGCCTTTATGATGTCAAAAGCTACTCTAGGCAGCTGCTATGTTTACAGCTGTCACTGCTTAGCTGAGAAGCTTCCCATGGACTAAATACTGAGTTTCATGGCCCATTTCTGACTTGCACTATTGCTTTGCTCAATGCAGAATTAGTATCAAAATGAAGGTCTAACCACGTTATTTTGTGACAAGGCATCAGCCATAAATGGCAGACTTGGCGTAGAAGTGTCCACTGAGCCCTTACTGTGCCCTTGCTAGATATCAAGAGTAAGAAAACCCTTTCTACCAGACCCAGTCCTGTCTCAGCCTGTCAGAGCAGTCATTCTGTAAATCTGGCTCCCACTTTTCAAATGTGTAGCCTGCTGTCTCAGTTGAGACAGAGTTTGCTTTCTGGCAAAAGCCTGACCTACCTGCTTCACTTCCCCAGACCATCAGACAACTGAAATTAAAACGGCCCAAATTATAAAAATTATAAAAAATTATAAAAAGATCCACTTTGGCTTGGGGACAGGTGGGCAGAAACGCCTGAAGAGGCTTGGGGACCAGGCAGTTACTGCCCCTACACCAGCAACCCCAGTGCCAGGTTCACCCCATCCTCTCCAAAGGGAGGCTGTTCGTGTGTTCTACAGGGCATGCCTGGGACAGGATTCCAGATAGAAAATGCTTTCACTTTTCTGTAAGATCCCAATATTTACACAGGCTTTTAAAGTTTGCATTGTAAAAACAGCGTTGGAATAAAAGCTTGAAGAGAGAATTATTTAGGACATAAAGCAAAAAAGTTGGAGGCAAACAGGGCTGGGGTGATAGCTCAGTGAAGTGCTAGAGGCACCAGAGTTCAGATACTGAGCGCTCATGGAAAAGCGAGGCATGGTGCTGCATACCTCTGACCCGGCACATGGGGAGGGCGAGACAGGTGCAAGCTGGGGGCTCACTGGACAGCTACTCTAGTGGAAATGGCAAGACTGTCTCCAAATGAGTAAGGTGATGAGGAAGACACCCAACCTTAACCTCTGTGGCCTCCACAGGCACACATGCATACCTGTGCATATACCACAAGCAAAACGCTTTGGGGCACTTGGCTAATAATGCAGAATAAATAATGCACCGTGGAACACAGGAGAGTTACAAACTGTGTAACACTTCAGTGAAAACCAGACTGCACAGACCATGCTGGTCCCATAAGTACAGCTGAAAAATTCTCATCCCCCCGGTATCTTTACTATCATTTTTCTATGTTTCTATAGGCCTAGATAAACAAATATTTACTGTATTACAACTTCCTATGGTATTCAGTATAGTCACATGCTGCACAGGCTTGTAGTCAGGAGCAGTAGGCCATGCTGTATTCCCCAGATATGCAGGTGACAACATCCACATCTGTGTAAGCACACTGTTTGCACAGTGACAAAATGACCCATCAACAAAACAACATCACCTATAGATGCAGAACATAACACAAGGCCTGGCTGCCAGGCCAGGGTGGCAATAGCAGTTACAATACCCAAGCCCCAAACACTTTCTTCTTACTTTCTGAGATGTATTAACTGGGAGCTTATTTTACCAACAGTGCAGATCAGATAGTGGTGAGGGCCACACATCTCCACGTCATCCAGTGTCAAGAGGGACAAGACCAGGAATCATGGGGCTAGACTACTGCATCATTTCAATAGTGCTATATCACCTCATGTGGAACATCAAATATACATGTTATACAGTCAAGAGAGTGGAGCGTAAGCATAAGCAAAAGCAGGGCAAGGTGTTCATGCTGTGGCAGGCAGGAAGACTTGAAGAGCCAGTGGAGAGGAGGCATGGAGCTCAGTGCTCCCCTGGTCCTTACCCTGTCAGCCCTTGTGACTGCCACACCCCATGCAGGGCAGAGAGCACATTCCCACTAGCAGTGCTGGAACCTGCCTACAGAAGAGAAGGAAGAGGTAACAGACACTTTCAGATGCAGGGTTACCCCAACCTGAGGGCAGTTTCAAGTCTACAGGGTTGCTTGGAAATCTCACCTACGTTTAGACACACAGGCAAACACAGGCCTTAACGAGCTGCTTCTTAGAGCTCACACAGAAATGAATGGCCAGGAAGAAGCCTGAAACCAATAGATCTGACCCAATGAGGGCAGGAACTGCAAGTGTAAATGGTGTAACTTTATAACATGCCTTGATAGTGAAGAGTACCATGTCCAATTTCAAACATGACAACCATTCTTAGGTTGGTCCTGTCCACCAGTAGACTAGAACTGCTTGCATTTGTTCTGTTTTCCACAGCTTCAGACTTTCTTTTAAAGAATGTTTGGTTCAGATATGGTACTGGCATGGCATTCCTTAATCCTTAGCCCAGATTTTTCCTTTTTAACAATTCTGACAACTGTCTTAACTGGGCACAGCCAACCAGGACCTAGGTTCCCAGTCTGTAGCTTGGCTGCTGTAGAACAGGAAGCTAGTTGGCTTCTCTGAGTCTTTGATATGAAAATAGCGTTACCAGGCAGAGGCCCTCAGAGCCCCAGCTTCTGCAGGGCAGGTTTGAGAAGACTTTCGAAATGGAAACAAATGCTATAAACAGACTCACTGTGATGACTGTGGCTGCTTTTTCAACAGCAGTTGATGGCTACTCAGGAATTCTGACTCCCTGTACCCCGCAGTTCCAGGCACTCCCGGGGTGGCACCCATTCCACAGTAGGTCACACTTACCTTAGCCAGCATAATTCTTGTCTTTGCCACATCCAGAGGTGTAGTGACTGCGGCTGCGAAACCACCTGTGTGCAAGAGCCAGTACTTGGTGAGATGGTCAGACTAGACATCACCCTCATCATTTCTACCTTCAGACTCCCCCAGATTGTCTACTGTTTGTGTCAGGAATAGGATGTGCATGTGCAAAACCTTCATCCACAGATTTCATTTCTTTTTGCAGCGATGGAACAAGAAGTGAAAGACACTGCTTTACCACTTCGGCAACAGAATGAGGCCCTACAGCCCACCTTGCTCATTCATGGCCTAGCATACTAATTGAACGGTCAGATGCACATTTCAGTATGAGCAGCTAGCACACAGCTCCCAGTGGCTCTGGGGATTTGTGCCTTTGTATAGGCTTTTCTAGAACAGCCTCCTGAAAGCTTCTGCTACTTCTGCTGTATCAGGCAATGGCCAGGTGCATGTCGTATGAGGACTTCCTGCGTAAGAGGTTGGACTCTGTGATAAGGACAATGCTTTCTGTATCCTACTGTTCCTCCTAATAGGCCAGGAAAGTCACATATCCATGCTCTCTCTGCATCATGCACCGCTGACTCCCTCATGCTTCAGCATGCTTCTGCCTTAGGCTTCTTGTCTCCCTCCTCCCTGTGTTCTTTTCATCTAAGTACCGTGTTGGCCAAATTGCCCATAGATTGTCCACACTTGTGGACAAAGGCACGAAAAGGTTTTATTGTTAATATAAACTATAGTTTTTGGTGTGTGTATGTGTGTGTGTGTGTGTGTGTGCGCGCGCGTGCATGCATGTGTAATATGGTCCTCCCTTCCATCCATCCTTTCTTTCTGTATTTTATTTACTTGGAACAGATTCATTTTTAAACCCTGAAAGGCCTGAAGGGTAGAGTAACGATACCTGGAGAGCTCTGGGGAGATTCAGCTCCCAGTGTGGGAGAGCGGTGGTCCCATGAGGGGCTTTGTGAAGGCTGCTTCAGAATAGCTCTAGGCTCCCTCTGCTGCGATATGTGCACAAGGATGGCACTTGATCTCTAACAAATATCTTTCTAAATATGTGGCTGAAATAAGATCCTTACACTGACCAGACACTACACGGTGACATCTGTTCTGACACCTGAGAGGGCACACCCACTTCATGTTTATGTTCTATTTTCAGTTTCCCATGACTGTCACACACCTTAGGGCTGCCCACATACCCTTTGTTTAGACCCCTTTTGTTTCAGTCTTTTTAGATTTATGAATGTGTGAGCCCACAAGATGGCTCTGCGGGTGAGGTTACATGCCGCAGAGCCTGATGACCTGAATTCATTTCCCAGAACTCACAAGGTGGAAGGAGAGAACTGATTCCTGCAAGGTGTTGTGTCCACATGTGTATTATGGCATGCATGTGCATTTACTCATAAACATACACACAGATAATAAAAAAATTTAAGGCTCTACTCAGTGCTGAGCTCTTAGGCCTGACTGACTGGAGAACTGCAGCGTTTGGCCACATCCCATCTGTGATGTGTTGCGGCTGTTTGTGCAAAGTGTCTAGGACAGTGTGTGGCTCATAGTAGCACTCTCAAATAGTCTTCCCTTTTCTAGGTGGACAACTATTAGGCATGTTTTCTTCCTATATCTAGCCTAGTGCACACAGTAGGTACTCAGTATGCTTAGTAGGTACCCCAGATAAGTGTCTACGGTTTTTACAGTCTACACATGTAAGTGGATCCTCTAAAAGGCAGGGGAAAGGGAAGGGTGAAGCAAGCACCTCCTTCGCTTGCTTGCTAGTGGGCACTAGTTTCTCTCTTTCCCACGGGTATCACCATTAGCATTCTACAGTCAACTGTCCAAGGCCACACAATCAGTATGGGGCTGGGAACAAGATCACGTGTATCTTTACCCCTACAATGTTCCTCTTTCTACACTCAATACACGACACAACAAATTAAAACTGGAGTACTGAAACTCATTTTCCTATTAGAAAAGCTTCACAAGCCATCCTCAATCAATTTATAAGACCTAAAAGTTGATAAGGAACATTTAATAAATTTAGCTCGCTCCAGCCCTTGTCTGGCTGCTGGCAGAGGTCTACCATCCTCTCCTGTGGACATCTGCTACTATTCCTGCAGATCTGCATGTCCCGAAAGCAGCAGCAAAGAAAGAGAAACTCCAAACATGTACCCTTTGATGGGCCCTCCTTCCACTACCACACGGGAATCTGTTCTTTATGGAAGGTATCATAAATCAATCTGAAGGTCTTCAAATACCAGACTGCTTTAACTCACAGACTCAGAGCTTTGCAAGCTAAAATGTACCTTTAGCATTCAGTACTTTCAACATTCTTCTTAAAGAGGAAATACAAGGAACACACTTTAACACATCAGACAGGAAACAACTGTGAGCACAGCAAACAGGCTGCTCTCATGTTGTTCTATCACATGGTGAACCAATCTCCATGGGATGTTTATTGAATGTTAGGCTACTGTGTTCAAGGGACACATTTATGGAAATGAAGTTTACAGAAAACTACTTGCTTCCTTGGGGAGCAAATGCAGTCACAACACTCTCATAGACAAAGGGTCCTCCTTCCAACAGCCGGTCTGGAGCTGTCCCTTCTGAGCAGCAGCTAAGACTGCTGGGCGAGGACAGTGAGTGTCAGGAGACCCCAAACCAACCCCCGGCAGCCCTACTGCACTCTCCGCTCCTGGAAGCGCATGTGATGCAAGGCGATCTCCTTCCCACACTCCTGCGCAGTCTCCAAACAAGGCTCCGTAGTGTGGCCGTCAGTGTTAGACCATGCCAGGCCTTCCCCTTTATCACACACATAATCCTGCCCCTGATTCTACAATTCCAACCCCAGCGCTGGGCCGAGATCTCTCCCCAGTACCTTCTCTCTCAGGGAATATAAGGAGGCATTTACTACGAGGTATTGATCACAAGAGACCCAGTATCACTGCAGTAGTAAATGTATTAATACAATCATTGGGCTTTATGTTTAGGAGTCAAGACTTCAAGTGAGAAGGCTGCAAAGGCCTTCTTTTCCCCCACTTTAATGCTGTCCAGAAGCCAAGAGAATTTCTAAGCACGACAAGCCATCAACACCTCCAATCTCAAGAAACATTTTTGGGTATCTGTACCAAGCAGTTTATGAATCAAGCACGGGCATGCACAGAGATGCACGGGATAGCAGAGAAGAGCTCATCGGCAATGACTGGGCCAATTTAAACTGGGAATAGCACATGCCGATGAGAAATCTGATTTCTGATTTGAGGGCAAGTTTGATCACAGAAGGGAGGGAGGGTTTATGGGAGGGTGTAAAGACAGTATAAGGGCAGTATGTGGGCCAAGAACCTGTGGCTAGGCAGGTCACAGACCATAGGGGAGAACCTACTACTATTACCCTGATAAATGGGCACAGTATTAAACTGACTCTCGATGTCTTATTGTTATACCCTCATAAATCAGTGCATCTCTCATATCTCACCAGAGAATCTTCTTGCAGCAGATGGTGATTAACACAGAGATCTACAACTAGTCAAAGTGCAAAAAATAAGAGACTGCAGAGTGCTCTGCCCTAAATGGAACACCCATCTGTATGGAACACTCTCTTCCCAAGGCTCAGAGATCATTGCACAAAAATTTTAAGAGTCAGGGGAGATGGAAAGATGGCTCAGTGGGTTCGATTCCTAGCACCCACATGGTAGCTAAGTCCAGTTCCAGGGGATCCAACGCCCTCTTCTGACCTCCACGGGCATTGCACGACATGGGTATGCACTTACATGCATGTAGGCACATACATTCATACACATAAAATAAAAATAAAATATTAAATTTTTTTTTAAAAAGCCAGAAGTGGTAGATGAATACAAGGAAACATGTTTTCTGGACATAACAGGGCAACTACATATATGAACCCATAGCGCTTGTGAGAGCACACATGAGACCTGCACAAGCCCAAGCCAAACAAAAACCCATCATGGAGGGGCGGGCACCAAGCCCCAGCCCTAGTTGAGGAACCACTGCCAATCGATAGCTGCTGGGAGAGGGAGACTCAGTTTACTTTAAGGGTGTGATGCTGGGTAGGGTGACCAGGTCGACCTGGGCCTGGACCCACACCCAAGAGTATTTGGGGAACACAAATTAGACTCAATAGGTCTTAGAAAAAAATCGAGGACATAAAGTGAGACAGGGGGTGGTGATCTGTGAGGAGATGGAGGAGAGGGTCTGAATATGATCAAAATACATTGTATGATATTCTCAAAGAATCAATAAAATTATTTTTAGGATATTTATATTTATTTTGATTGATTGATTATGCATTAGAGTGTGCCTGCATGGATGTTAAGTGTAGCAAGTGTGATCCTGGTGCCTTCAGAGGCCAGAAGAGGGCATCCAATCGCCTGTAACTGGAACTATAGGCAATTTTGAGTCGCCATGTGAGTGCTGGGAACTGAACCCAGGTCCTTTGAAAGAGCAGGAAGTGCTCTTAACTGCCGATCCATCTTCTAGCCCCAATTTTCACTTTATTTTATTTATTTTATATTTATATTTTATTTTAAAAATCATAGGCAAATTCACTGACCAGAATGTCACCTGAAAAACTGTGATAACTGGATTCAAAATCTACATGCTCTCAGAATGCTGCAAAGTGACTTAACGTGGCATCTTTCAGACCAACTGAGAACGTGTTTTTGATCTCCCTATAGCCCTAGCTAGCCTGGAACTTCCTATAGAGACCAGGCTGGCCTTGATCTCACAACCTCCTTAGTACTGGGTCTAAAGGTGTGCGCCACTACACCTAGTATTTAGCTGCCCAGTTTTATGGGTTACCATGTATCAACACATACCTTACCTCACTTGATCTCAAGGGAGAGAGTGATTATTTTCATGTTACAGGTCAAGGAACTGATGCTCAGCAAGGCTCAAAGACTCCTCCAGGAAATGCGGACAAATCAAAGACTTGCTCCCTGTCAGTCAGCAAGCCCAAGCTAGGCTGCGTGTGAGGCTCTGGATACCTTCTTCCCCTGCCTAACATCACAATGTCCTCAGTGAATCACTTCCCCCAAAGGGCCTGGATAGCAGGTTCCTACCACACAGCACAAGTGTGGTAGAATTGCTCCCTTCCCTCCTTTGACAGATGGAAATGCTTAGTACCGAATCTAACTCTAACAAGAGAATTGCAACAAGTCTAATTTCTCTAATATTTAGTAGCAATGTATCTTCAAATAAATATTTGATTTCAATGATTGAGGGTTATGACCTAAACTACATATTTATTTGAACACATGGAAGTTTTAGAATATTGAACTCCGGGGGCTGGAGAGATGGCTCAGTGGTTAAGAACACTGACTGTTCTTGCAGAAGACCCAGGTTCGAATCCCAGTACCCACATGGCAGCTAAGAGCTATCTGTAACTCCAGTCCCAGGGGATCGGACAGCCTCTTCTGTCTTCCGTGGGCATTGCACAACACGGTGCACTTACCTACATGCAGGCAATACACGCACACACATAGAATAAAAATAATAAAATATTTAGAGAATATTGAACTCCAAAAAGTGACCTTCCTTGTCCAGGGTAAGTAAATTCCCATAATGCTTACTTTGTCCCCCAGGCCCAGAAGTGAGTCAACAAAAACACAAATTTCCCTTAAGGGTCAGTAGCAGAGGCTCCTGACCTCTGGAAAATGAATCAAGACCACCTACTTCTTTAACCCAGCTGATGAGCATGTGTGTGTGAAAGCAATTACCCTCCCTAGTCCATGCAAGCTGATGTCATGTCTAGGGGCAAAATTCTGAGTTGTGATGATCATTTCCACAACTTGAATGGGTTTAAATTATTAACAAAGGAGCCTATAAAATGTAGGGTTTCTGTCCTCCTTATGACTACATAAAAATAAATAAAACCAAACAACTGTTAGGGAAATTGGGAAAGAAATGTTTTCCCCCAAAATGGTTGACTTCCAAACCTACCTACCCATTAGTTCACCAGTGTTGTAGCTAAACACTTTGAATTTTCTGGCAGAGTTCTGTTTTATTGCAAATATAATTCTAATTTACTTTTATTTGTAACAACAAAACCCATTTCTCTTTAAGCTTTTGAACTTACTATTTACTACATTAAAAAAAAAAACATCTCAGTTCTCATTAAAACCTCACTGAAAATTCACAGGACTTGGTGATGGACAGCATACTGCCATTCTTTAATGTCCTGAAAATGCCCAGATGTTTGCAAGGCCCTATTTTCTACCAAATGCAATTTAGCCTGCAGTCAGCTTCGGAGCAGCCTCTGCTCTCCTGACACCAGTTAATCTCCCATGCTGTCAAACATGTCACACGGGCCTTGAATCACTGCCTTCCACAGAAATCGCAGGAAGCCCGCAGCACCGCTCCCAGCAGACAGCTGCATGGTGCAGGCACACCCCCAGCAAGCCACTTCCCACAGCCGACTTTATAAATCATCTTTAAGATAATCCAAAGGCCTGAGTGAAGGCTTTAATAAAGATAAAAAGAAAAAGGGAAATTTGTCAAAAACAAATTGGTTGTCTTTCAAACAGACACCTTTATCAGGATCCCCCCACCCCAACACTTTCTTTTCTGAAACAGCTAGTGAAGCTGTCTTCATCTAAACAAGTTGGAATTCCTGAAGAATGTTGTTTTTGCATAGCTAGTATTTTCACATTTTTCTCCCTCCCCCTTCAGTCTTTCCCAGTATAATATAATCCCTTGCACCTGCAAAAGCTCCACAGACAGCTGACTGCCAAGAATCCACCACATGACCCCGCCGCCAGGACCAGAGGGCCTGTGTGGAAGGAGAAAGAAAAATATGAGTTATTCAATCTTCAAATTTATCGGAACCTGCTGTGGGTTAGCTCTGGGGATGGGAACTTAAGTGAGAAGCTATTTTGGTGGCATTCTTCAATGGTGATAGAAGTGATTTTCCCAAGGACTTAAATGAATTCTAAAATTAGTCAAAAAATGAGGCTGACAGCTATATTACGGTGCTCAAAGAAAGTATGTTCAAGGACTATTTCAGATACAAATTAAAGCAAACAATATATATTTGAGACAAGGAAATATTTTACATATTTCCCATGTAATTCTAAACATAAATAATTTATAACTTAGAAGACTGTATTCTAAATTCCTTTGTTCTTTTTAAAATCCTTGTGCACACTTGATGTTTGAAGAATGCCAGCTCTGTTGCCAGAGTGGTAACTTAATTTGGGGGAGGGATGTATTTTGAGACAGAATCTTACTATAGTAGTTCAGGCTGATCTCAAACTCACAATCCTCCTGCCTCAGTCTCCTGAGTGCTAGGAATGTAGGTGTGTACCACCATGCCCAGCATTAACTTAAAATCTATCGATCCGATTTTGTGCTGCTCACGTTGTAAATTGAGGATTATACAAATACCCAGGCCAAGTTTAGGTTGGGCAAACATGGTAAAGACGTGGTGCTTTATTATTGAAAGTTTAATACTGAGAGAAGATAAATCAGGTCACCTAAAAAGCTGAACAATGCCCATCTTCCCAACCAGCCCAAAGGTTGGGTCCTACTATTACTCACTTCTATCTAGGCTTCTGATGCACAGCCTTGCATGACAGTCATATCTTTAGCTTTACTGAGCTACCATACTGAATACCATCCAGTAAGCCATATATATTTAAAACACACAATTTGTTATGTTTGGACATCCACCCCCCCACACACACACTCTGACACACACAACTGCCACAATTAAGACAATGAACTTATCTACAATCCAAAGTTTTGTGCCCTGTGGAAACTTCTCTTTTGAGCCCCTCCTCATCACTCTCTAAGCAATGTGACCATCCTGTCACTGTTGACTGGTTTGCCAATTCTAGAATTGTATACAGTATAATCACATTAATTTTCTATAGCTGCCTAATCTCATCACTATGTCATGTTTCACCCATTTTATTACAGACTTTAACACTTCACCCCTTTTTGCTGGTGAGCAGTAGTCCAGCATATGGGTACATCGCAATTAGCTTCTTCCAGTTTGGGGCTGTTACAGATAAACCCACATGGACATTTGCAAACCAATCTTTATATAGAAACATGCTTTTATTTCTCTTCAGGAAACAACTAAGGAGGAAACTGCTAGTCAGAGACAAGTATGTTTAACTTTTTAAAACTGCCAACCTGTTTTCCAAAATTCCCATCAGTCCCAGTTTCTCTACATCCTTCCCAAACTTGATATTGCCAGCAGATTTACATGTTCCCATCTTAGTAAGCATGCACTACTATTTTACTGTAGGTTAAAATGTGTTCAGCTTCTCCTGACATATTTATGTACCATTCATGAACGTACAAATATTTGCATATTTTTATTTGGTAATTTATTACCTAAATGAATATTTCAAAGTTCTTCATATAATCTGTACATTAAGTCATTTGCAAATATTTTTCCTAATCTGTGACTTACCCTTTCATTCTCTTAACAATGCTTTACAAAGAATGAGCTTGAAAGTCCAAATTATTCTTTTATGAATATATCAGTATTTATATATATTAATGATGTTCATATATGGAGGGGGGGAGGGAGAAGTTTTGCTTTGAGACAGATTCTGGGTTTTTTGTTGGGTTTTGATGAGAGAGGGTCTCCCTGTAGCCCCAGCTGGCCTGGAAATTGCTATGTAGACCAGGCTGGCCTCAATTTCATAGAAATCTGCCAGCCTCTATCTCCCAAGTTCTGAGATTGAGACCAGGTCTGACTCTAGTTCAAGCTGGTCTTGAACTTGTGATGCTCCTGGCTCTGCCTCTTGTTTACTTGGATGGCAGGTGTATACTATCATGTCTGCTTTATGAATGTTGCTTTTGGTGAAGTGTGAGAAATCTTTGCCTATTTTAATGGCACAAAGATTTTCCTTCTATATTTTAATACATTTTAAGTTTTTAAAAAGTTTTACACCTTTACCTTTGAGTTAGTTTTTATAAGGTACAAGGTGTGGATTGGGTCCTTTCATTCTGTTTTTTAACATATAGATGTTCGATGGCTCTACTTCTTGGAAAAGATGATCCTTTCTTCAATAAATTGCCTTCTCACTTAAAAAATCAATTTTGTGTGTGTGTGGGGGGGTGTATGTGTGTGTGTCTAGGCCCTCTATTCTGTTCTAATCCATAGATGCCAATTCTGTACTTTATCACAAATTTTAATACATCTTGAAATTAAGGGGTTTTAGTTTTCCAAATTTCTCCTTTTTCAAAGTTGTTCTATTCTGGGTTCTTCAAGTTTCCATACGAATTTTTTTGCATCAGACTACCAATTTCCATGTGACACTCTGCTGAGAGCTTGTTGGGATCGCACTAAATCTGTGGGTCGTTTGAACAGAACAGAGGCATGCACGATGCTGCTCTTTTTGTCTTTATTTTAATGAGCGTGGCACCTCTACTCTTTTACTCTGGCTTCCTACCATCTCTCTCAACCCTGTTTTGGAGCTTCGCAGGGTCCAACATTGGCTCTGTCATGGTTCTAGCTAGGTATTTCACGTCTTAGTGCTATGTAAAGGGTATCACTTGGTTTTGAACTTTCAATGTCTGGTTGTTCACTGCTAACATGCGAAAACTGATTATCAATGCAAATGATTCTTGTATAATTGGTGTTCTGCAATTTTGGTAACTCCATTGCTCAACTTAGCTCCAGCAGTTTTTCTGTGGAGTTCATCAGCTTTCCTACATGACTATCATCAGTCTTATTTCTTCCTTTCCAATTAGAATATCTTATTTAGGTTTTCCCTGCACTGCAATAGTGACCATATACATTACCAAGAAGAGCTCCTGAGTGTATTACTTACATATTTAGAGTAGTAGAATGACCTACTGAAAAGTGGGCCATCTTGGGTAAGCAAGCATAACACAGCCAAAATAGGAACGGCAGACTCAGCATTACTCTCCACTCCGGCTATTTATCCCCCACCGACAGCAGCATCTCCAGGGTTGGAGGGTTGCTAAAGATGTGAGGATGATGCCATAATGATAAATCAAGATGTACACGGCCTTGTTTACCTTGTCAAGTTTAGTCACTTTCAACACTAACAGCCTACATAGCTGGTGTGTCGTGTTTCTCATTTCCTTCCACCCATGGAAGTAAGAGCAATTCTCTTAAAGTCTGTTTATTAATTTCTTAAGAAATGGTGGATCTCTGTAAGTTCAAGGCCAGCCTGGTCCACATAATGAGTTCCAGGACAGCTGGGGCTACAGGGAGACCCTGTCTCAAAAGGACCCCCCCCAAAAGTTTTATTTATTATTTTTATCTGTATGTGTGTTTGCCTGCATGTAGGTAAGTGCACCCGTATCGTACAATGCTAGCGGAGGACAGAAGAGGCCGTCGGATCCCCTGGAACTGGAGTTATGGACAGCTGTTAGCTGCCATGTGGGTGCTGGGATTCAAACCTGGGTCTTCTGCAAGAACAACCAGTGTTCTTAACTGCTGAGCCATCTCTCCAGCCCCGTTTATTCATTTTTCTGGACTAAAAGCGTACCTATCATGAGGGTTTTGCAACCTTGCTTATGAAAACAGGCAAGCTTTAAAAAGTTTTTATTACAAATACATTTCTAAAGTCTGAATGCTATTCATAGCACAGTATCTGGTATATTTTGAGTAAATTATCTTTGTGTTTAAATCTCCCTTCTTTGACGAAGTAATCTTAAGACTGAGGTGCCAAAAAAAAAAAGAAAAAATATGTGTGCTTCTATAGAAAGCATTATTTTCTCCAGAGTTTTTATAACACAACAGGACACAGGGCAGAACGACTTCTTAATTTTAAAGTGGCAAATGTGTATGTTATTATGCAAATGCCTGTGTGCCCAGCTTGGACATGTGTGTGTGCGCGCCACAAGTGAGCGAGCCTTGCTCATGCTAAGCACATGTTCTGCCACTGAGCTCTAACCCTAGCCCAGCTTCAACACCATTGCTCACTTCACATAATAGAGAAGAAATGTGAACATGACCACTTTCCTTAATGAGTGGAAGTCATCGTCAGTTAATCTTTTGACATCTTCTAAAGAAGAGATTACTCCAAACACACTTAAATCACTAGTCATAAGCTGGATTTATAGCAACAGTAAAGAACAAATAACAAGATATGAATTACATCAAAGAAGAAGAAACAAAAAACAAAGTAGGTAATTTGTAAATTCAGCAAACGTTCACTAAGTGCCTACAAGATGTCCAGCGGACCCAAGGGAAAATAGAACTTCTATTTCCCTAGTAAATGAGGGTCTAGTAAGTGAGGGAGGTACGGTAGGGCTGAAGAGGCTATAAGAGAGAGAAGAGGTGATAGAAAAGTTTCACGGGGTGCCTTTGTGTTCTAGGAAGAGAAAGGACTTGGTTACCAAGGGAAAGAAACATACTCAAAATAGACTCAGATGTCTAAGGCAGTTTAACTATAGACTCTCCATAGAGAAGCATGACTTTCCACTGTCACCTAGCTAGAGTTAGCCTAAGAATATAGAAAAAAGTCATTTTGTTTTAAAATACTGATAAATAGCATAAGAAAAACAAGCCCCAGATCTCTAGAGAAACTGAAAGTCAAGGGCAGATGTCAGTGGCAAGTGCAGAGCATGGTGTAACGACTGTCATGGCAACACAGCACTCACTTGGCACATCTGACTGTTCCAGGCTTTAAATGCTTCACACACATTAACTCATGACAGTCTTCTGAGGTATGCGCAATTTTGAACATTCTATCATTTTACAGACAAGCTGAGGCTGAGGTATTAAGTAACTTAGCAATGCTTAAATTGTGTGTTTAGCAGCAGAACTGGATCTGAATG